ATCCGAAGGACAACACGACAGTCATCACGCAGTTCCGCGCCTTGCGCTAATCAGCCCCCACCAACAACGCCTCCTACCGCCATCGCCCGGCCCGTACGCCTGTGCGATCGCCGAGTCTGGACAAAAGCTCCGTTGCAACGGTCTAGAGCACTGCCCTGAGTCTAGCGCTAGCCGACGCGGGGAGAAAGAATCAACCATGATGACAGCAGAGAAGCCTAGTAACTCTTCAGCTTGCGTGTCCGCTTCCGAAGCGGAAGCGACACAACGCGGCCCCGCGGAGATTGAGCCCGACACCCCCGAAATTTCACCTGCGGAAGCCAGAGCGTCAACCGTTAGATCGGAGGAAACGCACGACCATCGTAGCGCGCGACGCGAAGAATCGTCGGAAGATCGCCGGCAAAATCTAGCCGGCACTGACGAAACCGCATCGAGGGACCATGATGGCTGCAGTTCGGAGACTATAAGCGAGCGCGAGCGGCTGTTTCTGCAGCAACTTCATCGTAGCTCGCTGGAGTCGCGGCAGCGGATCTATACGAACGCCGCCGACGTTTGGATTTCGCATCTGGAGTCGGACACGTGGCTCGGACAGCTTGAAAAACTCGCTTCTGCGCAGCAAAAAAACGACAAACCTGCCGCTGTAACGAGTACTAGTGGCAACATTCCGCAGCAGCATGCCACGTGGCGGACCGGGGGACTGTACAGGTTCGGCAGCGGAACCTTTCGCAAGGCGCACGCGGTGGCGGAAAAGCATGAGCAGGCGCACCAACCGCGAGGAGAGCGCAGGCTCAAGCGGAGCGGGGAAAGCAGCAAGAGCACGCAGCGCGAGTGTTTTCCGCAGCAGACGCCGTCGCCGCTAGTAGCGGTGGAAGAACCTAGGGGTGTGGCTTCTGCAGCTCCAACAGTGCGGAGGTTTTCGCTCGCCAGAAGCGCTTCTGGCGGCACCAGCAGCAGCAGCAGTGACACTGGGGGCGGAAGCGGAGGGTTTTTCAATCCCCGCACCGGAGGGTTTTCGCGCAGCAGCACCGCTTTCTCAGGGAGCGGTGGTGGTACTATCGTCGTTCCCCGTTCGCCGTCGCGCGCATCTTGGTTATTCGGCTCCACTACTCGTTCCGCGCAGGAGCGCAGCACCAGCAGGCTCTCCGCAGACGGCTCTGCGTGACGCTGGGCCTCACCTTTCTACAACTTTCTTTCCCCGACACATCCTCCCCGTTATTTCACGGTAGGGAAGGAAGGATAAGTTTTATGATAAAAGGCCACACTATTTGGTTTGTTCAAACTATGAGATTCTAACTACCGTGTAACCCTAATCCTTGTTATTTGACCAAAACTATCCAGCCAGTCACGACTCAGTTATTAGTTCGTCATTGACTTGTATTGGTAGCTATGTGAGGTCAGTTGACGCTACTAGTTGTAGCATTAGCCGGGAAAGTACTCTTAAAAATTTAACACGTTTAGAACGAAAGAGGGCGAGGTGCTTGTTCGCTCCTCAACTGGGAAATTTCCTGAAACTCAATAAGGCGTAATTTAATAAACTTGCATGGAGGGGTGTACACACTCGAGTGGTCCGGGACAAGGGTTTATTGCTTGCATCCAGTTTCCCAGGGGCTTCTCCTGCGCCAAACCCCAACAACTAATCGCCTAGATCCAGCACATTTCATGTGAGTGTTTGTTGAGAGAGCTGAACTGCCGGATGTTGGACGCAAGATGATGTCTGGCAGTTGACCTATTTCGACAGCCCCCGACGTTGGTTGACGTTTTCTCGCCTTCCCGATGAGAAAAATGGGTGACAAAAAACCTGCTTGTCAGTGAGGCGAGGATGCCGCGGTTGCGCACTAGGCTCGGGGAAACAAACCAGGCAATCAAGCCCCCCCGCAAACCTTCCCCCTCCCCTCTTCCCTGGGGGGTCTAATTCCCCCTCACCACCTAGGGTCCACTCTCCACCTCGGGCCCGTTGCCCTTTGTCTTGCTTTTCAACTTGTGTGTCCCAAGCGTACAGAACATTTGAAGTGTAGACATTTCTGTGCAAAACGAAACAGCCGTCACGTGACTGAGGAAAGGACAATGGTTGTGGTCCTTGACCTTGAATGCAATATGCAGAAGCAGTTCCGTGGTTCTCGGTGCGGATCAGCAGCGCAGCAGCAGCAGCAGCGGCGCAAATCAAGGTGCCCCAATGTAGTGTCAGACGAAACGAGAAGACTTTGCGTGGTGTGGCGTGGTTTTGTGTTGTGTGCAGGTTTCGTACAAAACATATCCAATGCTGCAGTGGTCCTTCCATTTGTCGGTTGCAGTTATGCTTGGTTCTAACAACATACACCCTGTTTCGCGCCACACTGACATTTGATGTATTTACATGCCACCTATTCTGACATCAACGCGTCCAAAACGGTCCCAGAACAATTGCATATAAGCACAATTTGCCGCACTCAACCGTACGCGATAGCAATGTTCTGTCATAAAACGTTTTGTATCGTTCAAATGGACTGCATTTGCCCGCCACCTACCTGGGGTTCGGCTGCAAGCACCAGCCCGCAAAATCCAGGCGCACGTTCGCACTGTAGCCCGGCCTCCCGATTGTCAGAACGTTGAGAAACAGGGTGTACACTGCTGATTGGTCTTGCTCTCACTCAACTCTGCTCGGCTGGCTGCTGGCTGCTGGCTGCTGCTGGTCCATGGAATGTATGGACTCTAGTGTTCTATTTGCCTAGCACTCTCTCCTGCCTCCAGCACTGTTCTAGGTTCCACATTCTAGAAACTTCAGCCCCTACTAAGAAAGCAGACAGATACAACCAGTCTAGCGCATGCTGTTCAACTCCTGTCTGCCGATCTTTCAGTTATTCTAGTTACCTATTTGCTCCACACTTCATCGCAAACCGCCTGATATCTCGATCCGTCGAAACAATAGTCGCTGCAGATTACTCATGGCGCTCGTCGGCCCAGAAGAACCCCACAGGAAACTCATCGGCAGCAGAGCGGTCTTAACCAGCGCGTCGCCGAGACGGAACCTCGACTCCAGGTTTAGCGCCAGCTCCGCCGGCCGCGCAGCCAATCAAGGCTACGATGCCGGTTGCAGGTGGGAGGAGATTCGGTTTGACGTAACATCGTCACCTTCATATGCGTTTCAAAGACAGACCGCGGGAGTCTACCACAGCGCGCCGTTCTCTGAAGCGACAGCGGCAGCGAAGCGGCGCGGCGCGAGCAGCGGCCCGATGCTGCCCTTAGACCTTCCAAGGTTGAGCATGGATGCGGGGGCGAGGAGCGCCGACGTGACTCGCGGTCTAGATCCATCTTCGGCGGATAATACCGCCAGTATCACTACTAGTGATGACGATTATCGCGACGGTGGCGACGGCGCCGGCGCTGGCGGGTCGGAAACATCGGCGATAAGCGATCGCGAGCGGCTCTTTCTGCAGCAGCTTCGTCGAAGCTCCATCGCGACGCGGGAGAGGATTTTAAGCAACGTTGCTGACGTGTGGATTTCGCACCAGGAATCGGAGTCGTGGTTAGGGCAACTCGAAAAACTTGCTGCAGCGCAGCAAAGCGGCAAACATGTCCACGTAACGACGCGCTACGGAGAACAACAGCACGCCACGCGGCGAACCGCGGCCGGATCCTTTCGAAACGCGTCTCAATCGATGGCGGAACGCCAGCAGCAGCTAGAGGGGGATCCGCCGCAGCTCGCGGAGATTCAAGCCGCGCACCTGCCGCGCGGAGTGCGCAAGCTCAAGCGGAACGGCGAGAGCGCCAAATCCGCGCAATTTGAGTATTCGCCGCAGCAGCCGCTGTCTCCGCCGACAGGGGAGCAAAAAGTCGGAGCCCACGCGCAACTATTCGAGCGCACTAGCACAGCCCCTAGCGGCACCACCAGCACCACCGTCATCACCAGCAGCAACAACAGCGTCGGCAGCGGCAGTGGTAGCGGCAGCGGCGGAAGCGGGGGACGTGCTACCGTAGTTTCTGGCGCTCTGTCGCGCAAGTCGTGGCTGTTTGGCTTCACGAGCCGATCCACGCAGGAGCGCAGCACCAGCAGGCTCGGCGCGTCTCCGCACGGCGGCTCTTAATGACTCGCCTGCGCTGACCCGCGCTTCGCGCGCAGCACAAGCAGGCTCGGCGCTTCTCCGCACGGTGGCTCTTCGTGACTCGAGTCGCCTGCACTGACCGACGCTGCGACCATCCTCCGTCCTCTCTCTATCTTCCCCCCTCCCGCACTCACTCAAGCCCCTCCATCCCATGAGGCACTAAGATCCTTGCTCTGACGATGTTTGCCAGCCACTCTCGTTTCTGTATGTCGGGAGACTTGCTCGAACCAACAAAGCATGTCGAGTCACCGTCGCGGAAATGGCACGTGACAAGAAGTGACAATAGTATACTTTAGTCTATTGGAAGCTTTGACACCATTTTTGCAGTTGCAAAATGAGTCTGTAGGTGTAGGTAGGGTTGCGTTGGGAGTGTAACACTGCGTATTGAACAATTAGCTGGCCATGATATGTACCATACTTTATTTTGCTTCATTTGCGCAGTCTTCACTAAAGCCAGGTATCCTGTGTTACTCCACACCCATACCCACAAGTGACTCTAGATTAGCATGGTACAAGGCGTTTATGAGCCAAGAGGAGAGTCAGCATAAGCATCAGCTAGCTTCCCACCACCCCCTCTCAAACCTAACTGCCCTTCCATTCCTGGAAACTAGAGATGAGCCACAGAACCTGCACTGGGCCCCCCCTATTATCACCCAACCCATCTGTATATTGAGGTCGAGGCCCGTTTGACCACAGCTAAGCAGCTCAACCGTAAGCAAGCAGCTTACTTGCTCTCCTTCAATCTCTGGCAAGTCAATAGGCGACGGCAGCAGCGCTTGCATTGCAAGATGACATTTGAGCTTGCTCATGCGGCCCTAGATGAGTCTCTTATCTCTGGTAAATGAATAGGCGACGTCAGCGGCGCCTGCGCCACATAAACCCCTGATGGACTGCAGCTAAACCATTCGGCTGTAAACACGCGCCTTACTCTCCTTTGATCTCTGGCAAGTCAATAGGCGACGGCAGCGGCGCCTGTGCCACATCAGAAAAAACCCGGGCAGTATTCAGCGGGGACAGCATGTTAAACGGCGACTGCAGCTGACCTGGCGAGTCGCGGCCCATCGGCCACCTAGCGCCCCCCGGGCCAATCAGAATGCGGGGCGAATCCCGAGGGAGCGAGGACAACCACATGGGCGTGGGGAGGGCTCCTTGCATGAGAGCAGAGGGGAGCGGGCCGGTATACCCTGGGAAAGGATTACTGGAGTTCCCAGAGTTGCCTGCAGAGACAGAAGCGTCATTAGCAGAGGAACCAAGAGCAGAGGCCCATGCACTGGGATTGGACTGGGCATCCCGCGGCTTGATGTCAATGCTCGGCTGACTCTCCAGCTCCTCCTCGCCTCCGTTCCCATCCCCACTCCCATTCTTGCCGCCAATTCCGTTTTCATCGCCGTCTCCACCCTCGTCCCCGTTTCTCATACCTTCTACCTTTGTGCGTTTCGCTGCAGCTCCCTCCTCTCGCTTCAAGTCTGCTTCCGCACTGTTACCTCCTCCTCCTTCTCCTGGCTTATCCAGCCCGCTTCGCAGGTTTGCTGCTTGTGAACCATCTGCTTCCCCCTTAAGATCAGCCTGAAGAGCCCCACGATCAGCCCGTTCTGTTGCTGATACTGCACCACAATCACCACTACCTCTCTCTCCCTCTGTCTGCTTCTGCTGCTGCTGCTGCTGCTGCTGCTGCTGCTTGCTTGTGGTCAGCTCATTAGAAGACACGGCAAGCCCCAGGCACGCTTCTTGCTGCTCACTCCTTTCTCCTGCCCGTGACTGTTGCGTCTGCAGCGTGGCTTGGGGACCGGATGGTAGAGAACAGACAGCAGCAGCAGCAGCAGCTGCTGCTGCTGCAGCAGATGCAGAAGCAGAGGCAGCCCCACCAGTTACAGCAGCATTAGCACCACCGCCACCACCACCACCACTACCACCACGCTCCACTTGCTTCCCCGCTTCCTCAACCGACCCTCTCGTTACTCCACTCCCATTGCTTTCACCGCTCCCCACTCCCTTCAACCCATCTCCCTGTCCAAAACCCGACAAAAAATCGCGGCCTTTGGGAGTGCTCTGTTGTTTCAACCCCCCATTCTCCCCACCAGTCGTCTCCCCTCCGTTCGCCCCACCTACCCTGTGAATCGCCCCCCCCTTGTCACTCACAGGAGACGCAAACCCCTCTGAAAACTCCTCTCCCATGTCTGTGGGCTCGTGGCTGTGACTGTGACTGTGCCCGTGGCTGTGGCCATTGCTGTGACTCCCACTCGCTTCTACCACCACCCCTGGTCCTGCTTGCACCTCGCCTCCTCCACCCCCTCCTTCTCCACCTCCTCCTCCTCCCAGCCGCACCTGGAGAATGTCAAAAGGGGGTTGCTTCACTGCCTGTGCTGCACTGACTATCGCTCCCGTGGCACCAGCAGCAGCAGGAGCTGCAGAGGCAACCTCGGGAGCAGCGGGCGCAGCAGCAGGAGCAGCAGCACCTGCAGCAGCAGCAGAGTGGGGAGCAGGAAGAGCCAGGGAAGGCGGTGCAGCCGGGGCGAGAAGAGACAGCGGCGAGGGAGCAGCAGCAAGAGCACCAGCACCAGCACCGGCACCACCACCACCACCACCACCACCACCGGCACCACCGGCACCGGCAGAACCAGCAGCAATGGCACCAGCAGGAGCACCAGCAGGAGCAGAAGCAGGGGGAGGAGCGGGGAGAGCAGCAGCAGCAGACCCATCCACGGGGCCGTCATGAATGATGGTGATGGTGACGGGGCGGGGCGGCGGCTTGGAGTGGTTGTGCTCGCCCACGTATTTGATGCGCCAGTTGAAGGGGTTGTCGTTGCAGCGCTCCGCCCACTTCTTGGCCGGACAGGGGTGGGAGCCGGTGGTTTTGTGGGCACAGCGGAAGTAGCTCCTGTGGGGGAGTAGGGGGTTAGGAGAAGGGGGGGAGAGGGGACGCGGGAAAGAGGGGAGAAGGGGAAGGGAGGAGGGAAGAGGGGGAAAGGGGGAAGGGGTTGAGAGTTAGTGAGTGGTTGTGCTCGCCCACGTATTTGATGCGCCAGTTGAAGGGGTTGTCGTTGCACCGCTCCGCCCACTTCTTGGCCGGACAGGGATGGGAGCCGGTGGTCTTGTGTGCACAGCGGAAGTAGCTCCTGTAGGGGAGAGGAGGATCGGGGGAAAGCAGGGAGGAGAGGGAGTGGGGAAGGGGGGAAAAGGGGAAGCGGGAAAGGGGGAAGGGGAAAGGGGAGAAAGACGGGGTGAGAGAGAGTGGGTGGTTATGCTCGCCAACGTATTTGATGCGCCACTGGACGGGGTTATCGTTGCACCTTTCCGCCCACTTCTTGGCCGGACAGGGGTATTAGGGCGGAGGAGGATGGCAGCACAGTAATGGGGCGCATGGAGGCAGCAGGGCAAGGCAGCTAGCTACCTGGGAAGGTCTGGCTGAGGGTCACCTTCTGGCCGTACTTGTTTTAAGTCGACTCAAAACTTGAAAAAAAAGGGGGGCATGGCAAGCAGCAGGGCGGCAGGGCAAGGCAGCTAGTTACCTGGGGTAGGTCTGGCCGAGGGTGACCTTCTGGCCGTACTTGCGCCACTCCCACCCATCCATTGGCATCTCTGGCGCTGATGGCTTCGATGACGGCATGCGCGGCCTGCCAGGGAGAAGGGAGCAGCAAAGGGGGAGAAGGGGCGTTAGAAGGGGGCCGTACAGACACGTGTGGTTGGGAAGGGCGGTACAGGCGGTGGGGGGGGGAGGTGAGACGCGCCACTCCCACCCACCCGTCCATCGGCATCCCCGGGAGTTAGGAAGGACTTTCCACGTCACAAGCGACCGGTGAAAAGAGGTGGAGGAGGCAAACAAGTGAGTGAAACTCTTGAGTAACCTTGACGCACGATCAGATCAGCACAGACACCGTCAATACACCACGCACCTCTTATGCAACACTGCCCCATCGTCGCCGTCTTCCTCTGCACCACCACCACCCCCGCCGCCACCGCCACCACCCCCAGCGCCACCACCCCCTGCACCAACAGCAGCAGCCGCAGCACTCCGCTTTGTCCCGCCCCCACTCCCACCCCCTGCGCCTGCGCCTGCTTTTACACCCTCACCATCTCCCCCATCACCCGCGCCCTTCCCCCCGTCCTTCCCCGCATCCTTCCCCCCGCCCCCTCCCCCTCCTCCCCCGCTCCACCCCTGGTACCCCCGCCCTTCCGCGTGCGGGTGGTTCCCCGCGCCCCCTTTCCGCTGCCCTGGGTGCTGCCCGTGCTGCCCTGGGTGCTGCGGCGGCGCATGCGCCTTCTGCGCGCCCTCGGATGGCGGAAGAGACTTTTGCGCCCCCCCTTCAATCCCCAGATGCGATTTCTGCGGCGCCTCAAAACCCTGATGCTGCCCCGCGCCCCCTCCTGCCGTTCCGCCCCCTCCCGCGGACATCCATGCGCTCGCTCCGCCACGTACTCCCTCCTTGCCTTCCGCGGACGGCACAGGCGCGGGGGGCGCGGGGGACCCCATCCCCCCTGTGCTACCCCTCCCGCCCATGCTTCCCCCCATCGGGGGGGGGTGATGCATGGTGCTATTTCCACCCGGGCGCGGCCAAAAAGCGAGCCCGTGCGGAGACATCCACATCGGCGGAAGGACAGGGGGACCTGGAACCCCCGCGCCTCCCGCTCCTCCCGCCGCCGAACCAGGGGCTCCGGGCGCCGCCGAACCTCCTCCGCCGGAGCTGCTCATCCCGTCCGCGTCCGAAGGCCCGGGGGCGGATCCGAGCGGCGGAAGCGGCGGGTGCGCGGAGCCCGGGGGGCGGAAGACGCCGTGCGGGGGAAGGACTCCGGGCGGCGGCATTGGGAACATCCCGGGCGGGAACGGCATCATTCCGTGGTGGCCCATCCCGTGGTGATTCATGCCGTGGTGATTGTTCATTCCGTGGTGATTGTTCATCCCGTGATTCAACTGCTGCAGCACTGACGCGACGACGTCGCCCACGCTGCGATCCGAACCAAGGTTCATGTCGCCAAGCATTCGCAAATGCATCCCCAGCTCCTCGGGAGTTGGTCGCCCCGACGCTCCCGCTGCCGCTGCTGCGCGAAAAGCGGCGGATGCGGCGGCTGCAGCAGCAGCGGCGCCGGGATTGGCCGGAGCGGATGCGTCGGTTCCGTTGCCCGCAGCAGCGGGAGATGCGTTGGCGGCAGCAGCGGATGGGACGGCAGAACGCGCGGGAGAGGAGGGGTGAGTGGCGGTCTGACCGTTGGGATGGTCGGGGGGGAACGATGACGCGTTGTCGCCGTTGCTATCCCCGTTCTGCTGCTGCTGCTGCTGCTGCTGCTGTTGCTGCTGTTGCTGCTGCTGATGGCTCTGATTGTGGTTCTGAAGCGGATTATTGTGATGCTGCTGCTGCTCGTGCTGATGAGGATGCGGATGCTGCGAGTACGAGTTGTCCTGTTGGTCCACGTGTTGCTCCTCAGCGCAGCGCGAGTGTGGGGGCGATGCCACGTCAGCAGGAAGAGATTCCGCGTCAGGGTTCGGGGGTCCGAGAAGAGCCTGGCAGCTTCCCAGGGCCTCCATCGCTGATTGGACCAGATCTTGAGCTTCTGCCACGTCACTGGGAAAGGGCAGGGATAACGAGAAAAAAAAACAACGGAAATAAAGGAGGTGAACGACAAGAAAAGGGGACGACGCGAAAGGTATTGAGAGGCTTCGTGCGTCGAACGCCCGTCAAAGGTGGCAGGACGAGACACATGCGAACCACAGCGGACAACTATGCGACGATTGTAAGCACAGCTGTCGACGCCTCGAAGATCCTCGTCAAAGAAGACGAAGACAATGGCGAAGGCGAAGGCTCTGGCGAAGACAAAGGCGAAGGGGAAGAAGAGGGCGAAGACGACGACGAAGACGGCGACGAAGGCGAAGGCGAAGACGAAGGCGAAAGAACAGTAACTCGATTTCAAATAGCCGCGTATAGAAAAATCTGCATTAAGTAAAGCAAATAACGTGCTCCTCTGCTCACCGTCTAAAGGCTTTCGTCAAAGTTCCAGATTGCTTGGCCTGGAAACCACTGCTTATCTTAATTCTCACAAAAGCCTCACAACGAAAAGGCTGGTCACTCACCGGCTGCGGCTCTCATCAAAGTCCGGGTCCGCTTGTCCCGGAAATCGCTGCCCTTACACTTATTCTGACAGAAACTTAACAGTGAGAAGGCTACTCACCCGCTAAGGCTCTCATCAAAGTCCGGGTCCGCTTGTCCCGCGGATTGCTTCGCCATCTCAACACGTAGATACATCGTATTAGCGTGCTTCATCAGCACCTTGGTTTGCGAGTTTGCCAGCGTCGTCGCGTCTAGAAGCTTCTTACACAGCGTACTTAGCGACTCTAATTGGGTCTCCATGGTTGGAGCGTGGATCGACTCGCCGGACATTAATCTACAGTGTAGGCGGCTCGGCTGATTCCCGAAATAACTCTACCGGGTAGCTAAACTCGGCGTTTTCGAGTTGTGCAAGTCCAGGTCTTCGCACGATACTACGCGGTTTCGATGGTCCAGATCCAAACTCTCACTCAATTCAAATTCCTGCAATATCCAGCTCCCCAAACCTTTTCCAATTCTTGCTGACAGTAAAAGCTAAATTAGCTAAACGTTGCCAAAAAGGAAGGAAAAGCTGGGGGAAAAGGTACGGGAAGAGACAGGATGACGAGCACGTGCGGGGAGGAAGGGAGAAACGCCACCGAACGCGAGACAAGCAGCCTAAGCTGAGAAATACGACAAAAAAAAGTGGAAAAAAAAGGAGATCCGGCAATCGAGTTCCTAAAATACTAGCCGTCTACGCGGGGCGCCATGACCCTTGCAAGCGGAAGCGCACATCCAGGGTTACAGACACCACAGCTCACAACCCACAGGAACACCACACGTCCACACATCAATCATCCAAACGCGAGAATTGGGAAAGAAAGCAGAAACAATGGCAGAGCAGGAGAGAGTCAAGACGTTCTTCTAGTGTCTCGGGATCTGCGAGCGGTCAAAGACGTTCGCGAGGGTTTGGTGAGTTCCCTCCCTCCCTAACCGCCAGGTCCTGGTCTGGTGAGGGGTGGGTGGACCCACCCGCGTCAAGTTTCTTGCTTGCTGGAGGTGACCAGTCCCCACCCCAGGCTCCCCGAGTCAGCCCCTTGATTTCACCCTCCCTCAACCAAGCCTGCTCAAAGTACCCGAACCAAACTCAAACCTGCTCTAATCCTCCCAGACCAAATTTCCACGTCAGGTGCTCGTGGCCGAGCCAGGATGCAGCCCCGGGCTGCAGCTTTCTGGTTTGGATGGAAGGCGTGATGTGTGGTGTGGATAGGTTTCATGAAGGACCGTGCGTGACTCGCATCAGGGGATCACGTGGAGATGTGTTACCTGTCGACTCGACGCGGCCAAAGTAGAGCAGGGGTGACTGATAGTGCATTAGAGCCGTCGATGTGGACATTGTAACGACTGAGATTATTTCGGAAACTCAATCATCCAGAACAGTAAACTGTTCTAAAGTGTGGGATGGATAGTGGCCTCTACGGCTCGGATTAGTTGACAAAGATGCGCTGATCGGTGGAGATGCGCTTGCTGGCTAGGGGAGTTTGATTGGTCACGGAGCTGTACAACTGAGCCCAGAAAGTCTGAGTTTTCATGGCAATCAAAGTCACTGGGCATTGCTGTAAAGGTCAAACCCTCCTTCCCGTCACACCAGTTTATTTTTAAGTGCAAGACAAACTGGGTGGTCTTTAGAGCCGAGCATTCAGACCTTCGAAGGGAAGAATAAAATAATAATCAATTGCAACTCACTCAAGTAACATCGCATGTTTTGTCTCTTCCATTCTCGAAAGGACATGCCCTTCTTCCACATCCAAACCTCCCACTTGTACATCAGCGCTGGAGAAAAGGGGTAACTCAGGGTGTCGAGCCTCAATTTCTGCGTCGGCGTCATTCCAAGTTCCAGCCAAATACGCATGTATGCTGCTTTTTCTGGACTGCGTAGTGTGTGAGTGTATGTGGACATTTTTTCAAGAAAAGGGAGCAAACCCGAGCCTAACCGAAAGACGTCAGCGTTTGGTGGATGTGTAAGTGAAGGAAGGTTCGGGCGGTCAAGCTCTTCAACGCCACGGTGTTTGAGCCGCCCAGCGGTGACAGCGTGTCCAGAAAATCGTGGCTAAACCAATTCTTGATTGCCAGCACATCGTGATCGGAGAAGCTAGCGTCGCAAGTCGTCGCCAGCCATGCTGTGCTTGCATTCTTGGGGCTACGCCGTGTCACACACTCTTTGTTGGTTAGCTTCGTTATTATGGTAAAGAAGAGTGTTTGTTAATTACAAATTAGAAGGACTAATGCATTTGTAACGGCTGTAAACAATTTCTGTAAACACGCGCTTCCGCGAACTGGTTTCGGTGATATCGTCCCCACCAGCATGCGAGTTCGTGGGGCCTCCTCTGTCGCCAACAACCTGTCCCGCCTGCACCAATTCGTGTGACTCGACGGTTTCGCACGGTCGACATGTCTCCTCCATCCACCAGGGCCGAATCGCGCACCCAATTTCCAAATTCAGAATTCGTTCCATGCAACCAGGGTCACCAACTTGCAACCTAAGATGGAATCTTGAGCGCGCAGTTGCAAACCAGCTCAAATTACATTAGGAATTTCGAAAAAGGCTTCAACCGATATGCTCTGCTTGTAGGATGCTATTACTGCTTGACACCCATCCCTGATCCATTCAGTCCGCATTCGAAGATCTTCATTATTTCATAGAAACGACTGCATGTCCGCTGCGCCCCACGCACACAAGCAGCCCGCCATCATGGCGCTCCCTTCTCAAACCCGACGAGTACGACATCGATACGGCCCCAACATCCGAAAGAAGCTCGACGCTTTAGGAAATCCTACGCCGTCAACAGATTTTCCCGCTGAACCTTCCATCTTCTCCACTATCGCCTCCTGGATTTCGCACCGCCTGCGACCCTCCTCCAGCGGCGCTGATACCAAGCATCATGCCACAAATTCCAAGCCCTCGACGCCGTTTTCCAGACGGAGAGGTAGAACGAGCGCGCCTCACGGGGACGGAAGCAGCGACGCCGTAACTCTGCACTCCGTTGGCGACAGCGGGATGTACGGCGACGAAGGCGAAGACTACGACGGGGATGAGCGAAGCGAGTGCTCTTCGTGGACGATGCCACAGCATCCTGTCGCGTCGACTCCAGGAACTGAGCGTCGCCGGTCGAGCCGGCGAATGAGGAAGACGACGACAGGAGCGACGACGAGCCGTCGGGATTCGCGGACGGCATCTGTGGGATATCCTGCTAAAGGTAGTAAGCTTTTCGCTTACCCTGCGGCTTCTGCCCGGGTGTACGACGAGTCGCTCCTGTCGGACGACGAATCGTTCGCGATTGGCGACCGTGACGGTAACCAGGTACCCGGCTCGCCAATGAGCACCGCTTCGTCTGACAGTGTTTCCTATGCTGGGAACTAAGGGAACATGCGGCGTTGTCCGTTCACGAGCTTTTCAAATCGACAGTGTGTGTACAGCTGCAGAGTCGATAAGTAACACAACCTTGTCTGCGAGGGATGGAACAAGAGGAGCATCACCTCCCTCGTGAAGACAAGCCTTCAAATTCTTCGTGTGTTAATTTTAGCCTTCGTGTGTTCACACTACTAGAATGGACGCCCGCAGGTGCGGTGCATGGTTCAAGTAGGTCATGATAAGCGTGGTCCTATTCAAATTTCGTACGCAATAATTTCCACATTGTCATTCAGTTCACTTGAATTGAGTGACACAATACAAGTCGACATTTTTCTTGCGAAAATACTGGATATGCATAACCACATGTATGGTACATGTAATCAGAGACAACTGTGTAGATCTCGTCTTTGGGACTGTTGTACCATACTGCCTTTGCTTCGGTTATCGAGAACCACTGGTGTATAGCAAAGACGTGGCAGCCAGGTCAGTACCAACATATTGACCAATAGCGAGCTGCACATTAAGGCATATGCCACGTCAGTACACCCCCCGATAGTTGTGATTTCTTTCCTCGCCTCTTTGAGTAACCACACCGCAGTGCGTACGAACGAATTCTCGCAGTTCCGAAAGTTTCGCCAAAAATTATCACCACCATGCTTGCCTAGCCCCTGTACCGCGCCACCATATGCTTTATTACCAACTGAACTTCAGTCTACTTATATAGCTCCGGGAATCTTCATCTTTTGAGTAATGATTTTGTAGTGAGGCTCGTGTGATGTTGGTTCTCACTCCAAATGGGTAGGAACGGCGCCAAAAATACTAGTGCGAGGCGCCATTAATTTCGTCGTGACTATCGTGGACTGCATGAACTGATCGACAGACATCTTACGGCTTTACGAGATCCGTTGGCTCCCTCTAGTTCGTGCAGTGGCGCCCACTACTGTCACATCAGCTGCATTCACAATGTTCGACGAAACTGACGATCCAAGTGTACAAGCTGCCCACGGTCACAGCACTTCAGCTCGATCTGGCGTTCCTTCAGGTGTTTCGTCAGGTGCTTCTCCAAGTGCCCAGCCATGCCATGCAACCGTCCAAAACTTCCCGGATAATCAACTCATAGAAAATTCTCAGGAAGGATCAGAAGTTTGTAATCAGAAGTATCACGTGTGTCGAGATTCCTATTCGTGCAATCAAGTCGACAATCAGTCAATGGCTTTTGACTCGAGTCAGGCTTCGAATGCATGCAATCTATTGGTGGACAATCCAACTGCCGCGTATAACTCGTGCCGCGCCCCCTCCGCTGATTTAGAAGCTTCTTCTTCCGCCGAACCGCCGTTCACCGAAGCTTCCATAGGAGCCTCCGCGCCGCTGCTTACCAAGCCTAGCTGGCTGGTCAAGGTCCGAGGCGCGCTCACCCCGCGCGAATGGATAACCGTCGGATGCCTCGCCGCCGCAATCTGCGCGCTGCACGTGATTGGCTGGGGCACGCTGATCGTGTTTGTGGTGCCCGGGCATTACGCCTTGGCAGGCGGGGGCGGCACATTTGGCGTGGGCCTGGGAGTGACGGCTTACATGCTGGGGATGCGGCACGCGTTCGACGCGGATCATATCGCAGGTAGGAGTTACATTGCGTTGCGACTACGAACCTTGCATTGCATTGCATTACATTGCGTTGCATTGCGGGTAACTGGTGAGGTGAGGCGCCTCCAAGGGTCTGGGAGTGACGGCGTACATGCTGGGCATTCGAATGCAACCCTTGTCTGAGATGGGAAATTCTGGGATTGGACACGTGGGAGAGTGAAAAAGGGGCGAGGGGGGGGACGGGGGAAGAGGGATGACGGAAGAGGGATGAGGGAAGAGGGATGACGGAAGAGGGACAAGGGAATTGGAATGTGGGGGGGTTGTGAGAGTGGGGGGAGTAGGGGGGTGTGAGTGGGTTGGGAGAGGTGAACTGTGACACTGGCCTCTGGCTTCGCCTTACTCCCTCCTCCCTGACCCCCTTCCTCACCCCACACCGCCTACCCCCCTCCCCGCCCCTTCCCCCCTCCCCCCTTCCCCTGCCTCGTCCAATCAGCGATTGACAACACGACGCGCAAGTTCCTAGCGGAGGGGAGGAGGACGCTGACAGTGGGGTTCTGGTTTGCGCTCGGCCACTCCTCCGTGGTCTTCCTCGCCGCGCTCATCATTGCCGTGGGCTTTAAGGCCTTCGCCGGACAGGTATCCAACTGAATCTCAGTCCAACAATATAGCTTCCTCTTCTGTTTGTTTGTTTGTCTTCGTTTTTTTTTTCTTCTTCTTCTTTTTACGTGGACATGGACATTTGTACAGTATGTATGTATATGTATAACTTATGTATCTTCACCACACCAGGTGCAATCAGAGGAGTCACAGCTGCATGTCATTCTCGGCCTTGTGGGTGCACTCGTCTCGAGCCTCTTCCTGCTGCTTATAGGCGCCATCAACCTCCTCGTTTTAATCCACCTCGTTAAGGTGGGTCTTTAGTGGTAACTTCACCATATCTTACTTTTGACCTCCTTCTGCTGCTCGTAGGGGCCATTTAACCTCGTTCTAATCCACCTCGTTAAGGTGCATACCTAGTTATTATTGGTTCACCCTATATTGGTTCTAACCCTCTTCCTGGCACATATTGTTGACATCCCCACCCCTAACCCCTCCACCCGATTCCACCCCTCTCCACCTCTCCCCACTGCTCTCCACGCCTCTAGTTGTTCCATGCAATGCGCAAGAGCACAGCTAGAGAAGCAGACCTGGAGGGCCTAGCTGTGCAGGGGAGGATGTTCAGCCGCTGCCTGGGAGTCACTTTTGTGCTGGGAGTCACTCCCAGCACAGCTAGAGAAACAGACCTGGAGGACCTAGCTCTGCAGGGGAGGATGTTCGTCCGCTGCCTGGGTCACGTAGCATGAAGGACCCTTTTCCTTCCCTCTCCATTTCTCCCCACCCCTCCTCACTCCTCTCCACCGCTCTCCACGCCTCCAGGTTCTCCGTGCGATGCGCAAGGGCACAGCGAGAGACACAGACCTAGAGGACCTAGCCCTGCAAGGGGGGCTGTTCGGCCGCTGCCTGGGGCGGGTGGAAGCGCTGATAAGGCACCCGCCCCAGATGTACCTGCTGGGGTCCCTGCATCATCACCCCTTCACTTCCCTCTCCACCCCTCTCCACCGCTCTCCACGCCTCCAGGTTTTCCGTGCAACAAGCAAGGGCACAGCGAGAGACACAGACCTAGAGGACCTGGCACTCCAGGGGGGGATGTTTGGCCGCTGTCTAGGCTGCATCGCAGCGCTCATGAAGCACCCGCCCCAGATGTACCTGCTCCTGCTGGGGTTTACTCTTTGGGCTCGGCTTTGACACAGCCACGGCCTCCTTCCCATCCCTCTCCACCGCTCTCCACGCCTCCAGGTGTTCCGTGCCATGCGCAAGGGCACAGCTAGAGAGGAAGACCTAGCAGACCTGGCACTGCAGGGGGGGATGTTCGGCCGCTGCCTGGGCCGCATTGCAGCGCTGATAAAGCACCCACCCCAGATGTACCTGCTGGGGTTCCTCTTTGGGCTCGGCTTTGACACGACCATGGCCCACCCCTCCCCACCCCTCTCCACCACTCCCGGCCGCTCTCCACACCTCCAGGTGTTCCGTGCAACACGGAACGGCACGGCTAGAGAAGCAGACTTAGAGGACTTGACACTGCAGGGGGGGTTGTTCGTGCGATGCATGGGGCGGGTAGCAGCGCTGATAAAGCACCCGCCCCAGATGTACCTGCTGGGGTTCCTCTTTGGGCTCGGCTTTGACACAGCCACCGAGGTCGCTCTGCTCTTCATGGCTGCTGGTGCTGCTTCCTCCGGCCTGCCCTGGTTCGCGATCCTCTGCCTTCCGGTCATATTCGCTGCTGGTAAGGCCTGCTGTGTCTGCCTCTATTCCACTTTTGAGCGCCCCTCAAAAGCCGCTGCCTCCTCCTCCGGCCTGCCCTGGCTCGCGATCCTCTGCCTTCCGGTCCTATTCGCTGCTGGTACGCGCCAGCCCTGCCTTGTGTTTGAAGAAGTGTTTTGAGACGTCTCAAAACACTCATATTCGCTGCTGGTACGCGCCAGCCCTGCCTTGTGTTTGAAGAAGTGTTTTGAGACGTCTCAAAACACTCATATTCGCTGCTGGTACGCGCCAGCCCTGCCTTGTGTTTGAAGAAGTGTTTTGAGACGTCTCAAAACACTCATATTCGCTGCTGGTACGCGCCAGCCCTGCCTTGTCTGTATCCCGCTGCCCTGCCTTTCTACCTCTGATCTGATTGAGCCTGCCTTGACCAAGGGGCCCAGAATCATCCCTCTTTGGGCTTGGCTTTGACACGGCCACGGAGGTGGCTCTGCTCTTCACGTGTATGAAGATTTGTTTTGAGACGTCTCAAAACAAATCTTCATCCAAGGGGCCCAGAATCATCCCTCTTTGGGCTTGGCTTTGACACGCCCACAGAGGTGGCTCAGCTCTTCATGGCTGCCGGGGCTGCCTCCTCCGGCCTGCCTTGGTTCGCCATCATCCTGTGCCTTCCTGTGATATTCGCTGCTGGTACGCACCTGCCTTGTTTCTCTCTATCCCACTGCCCTGCCTTCATCCCATGGCTACGGGGGTCGCTCTGCTCTTCATGGCTGCTGGCGCCGCCTCCTCTGGCCTCCCCTGGTTCGCCATACTCTGCCTTCCGGTCATATTCGCTGCTGGTACGCCCACCCCGCTCTGCCTGTATCCCTCCCATCCCACTGCCCTGCCTTCATCACACGGCCACGGAGGTGGCTCTGCTCTTCATGGCTGCTGGCGCCGCCTCCTCTGGCCTCCCCTGGTTCGCCATACTCTGCCTTCCGGTCATATTCGCTGCTGGTACGCCCACCCCGCTCTGCCTGTATCCCTCCCATCCCACTGCCCTGCCTTCATCACACGGCCACAGAGGTGGCTCTGCTCTTCATGGCTGCTGGCGCCGCCTCCTCTGGCCTCCCCTGGTTCGCCATACTCTGCCTTCCAGTCATATTCGCTGCTGGTACGCCCACCCCGCTCTGCCTGTATCCCTCCCATCCCACTGCCCTGCCTTCATCACACGGCCACGGAGGTGGCTCTGCTCTTCATGGCTGCTGGCGCCGCCTTCTCTGGCCTCCCTTGGTTCGCCATCCTTTGCCTGCCCGTCATAATCGCGGCTGGTACGCACGCTCTGCCCTGCCTTTATCCCTTTGGTCTTCCTGCATCCCACTGGCCCTGCATGTAAACCTCTTGGTCTGGGTCTGGGTCTGGGTCTGGGTCTGGGTCTGGGTCTGGCTTTCTCCTTCCTGCAAAGAAAGCTCTTCTCCTCCCCCACATTCCTCCCCCCCCACTCTCCCCACCCCCACCTCCCCCCAGGCATGACCACCCTACTGGACAACATAGACAGTCAAGGGCCTTCTCTCCAACCGTGCATTACCACTTCCCACCCCCTTTCCACGCATTACCTCTCACCTCGTCCCTGCAGGCATGACCCTATTAGACACCATAGACGGATCATTTATGAAATTCGCATACAGCTGGGCCTTCTCCTTCCCGCACATACTCACCCATGCATTACCTTCCCATTGCTCCCACACCACCTCCCTCCTCTCCTCCTTTCTTCCAGGCATGACCCTACTAGACACCATAGACGGATCATTCATGAACTTCGCCTATAGCTGGGCCTTCTCCTTCCCGCTAAGAAAGCTTTTCTTCAATATTGTCATCACTGGCTTGTCTGTTATGGTGGCGCTGCTTATAGGGGGGATAGAGCTTCTGCAGGTGAGCTTGAGCTGACTGTACGTTGGAACGAATTACAACAGCAATGAGTCTCGGTGGCACTGCTTATGAAGGGGCTGGCTTCGTCCCTTACCCCTTTCTCTTGTCTAGTTTTGAGGCGCCTCAAAACTATAAAGGGGCTTCATCCCTTACCCCTTTCTCTTGTCCTTCATCCTCGTCTTTCTCTGCTCTTCGTCCTTCTCTGAATTCTCCATTTCCTGCTCTCCTTGCTCCTCTCCTTCCCTCGTTGCTCTTGTCCTTACTCCCATCCTTCCTCCAACTCAATTCCCAATCCCTCCTACTCTCCTTCAACGTCTGCTTAATACCCCTTCTTCTCCTCTCTTCCTCCTTCCTTGTACCCTCGCTCCATCCATGATGGCAGTTGGTGATTGAGAAGGCAGGATGGGAGGGACAACCATGGGACTCAATAGCGGGGATGGATCTCAACATTCTTGGATTCGTTATAGTGGGCCTTTTTTTCCTTATATGGATGATTGCTCTTGCCCTCTGGCAGTTGATGCAATATGAGAAATCACCTGACTTGTAACACTCACGTAGTACAATTGCTTTATAGCACACCATTTCACCTTCACGTACCGTGTCAAGGCTGTCGGGAGTACAGGCAGGAATTGTGTCGAAAATCATAAGAAGGTTATTGTTGCTCTAGCAACAAATGTCATAATGGCATACCATATCGATGGGAACTACACTTTAACAGAATCTTGGTTAACTGAATGGACATACAGTAACATGATCTCGGTACAGGAATGGTACACCTTACCAAGATGACTGCACACAGTGCTCGACTACAAAAAGTTCACAGAGGCAAGTTCAGTTCTTCTCATTGTAGGCCAATCTCATTACGCAAACCACTGTAGGTCGTTTTGATGCGAGTAACCACTGCAAGTCTCACGGAAACTGTTTCGAGCCACATCCCGAGCTATCCAATCACGTCCATGCAGCTTTCGCAGAGAAATCATCTGACGGGCCGAGGAAGGCAGGAGAGGGAAGGGGGGAAGGACATAGAGGGTTACTCTTGAGAATTCTCAAAAGTGGTTCCAAGTCTCCAACTCATGACCATGCAGCTTTAGCAGAGAATTCACCTGACGGACCAAGAGGAAGGACAGGAGGAACACGAGGCGGAGACGGAAGGGGGTAAGGACAGAGAGTGCAAAGGAAGACAGGAGTGGGTATGAGAACACTCACTCACTCACTCACCCTCTCACTCACCCACGGCAGGAGTATCAGCGTTCATCAGCAGCACTTGTGCTGTCCGCACGCTTTGAGGCCGCCACGCCCACAGCAGCAGCCGCCACGCGTCCGGCACGGCCCCGACCCGCCACCCCATCTCGCACCCGTCCGATATGCTCGGCACACAGCGCACCACGCGTAACCGCGTTACCACGTTCCGTAACCTTGGAGAAAGCCAGTGCATGCGCGTGGTGTTGATCCACGCGGAGGGGGAGGAGGGGAGGGAGCGGCGGAGGGAGCGGCGGAAGCGGTCGAACATGTGCAGGGCCGTGTGGTCTGGGTCGGTGTGCCGAACGTACATCCAGGCTCGGAAATACCGGGCCGAACGGACGCAGGGCCGGGAGGGAGGTTCGGTGGCGGAGGTGGGGGAGGAGGAGGGAGGGAAGGGCGTTAGCAGCGTGCCTTGGGGTTGGGTTGCATTGGTGGTGTCGTTTTTGCTTGGAGAAAACGAGGAGAAGGAGGAGGAGGTGGAAGTGGAGGAGGAAGAGAGGTTAGAAGCCGATGCGGAAGTGGAAGAGAAAGAGATCAAAGGTGGAACGAAGCATTTCTCTTCCACAACCACTGACAACCCATCAAACAGACTCGATTCCAGAACCGTTTTCCCCGCCCCTCCTGTTCTCTTGCTCCTGTCCCGGCCCCCTCTCAACCCTGTCCCCTCCTCCACCCCTCCCTCACTCTCCCCCATCCACCACCCGCTATCCTCCTCCCCTTTCCCCCCACCGCCCTCCCCACCTGCACCAGAAAACACCTGCATTTCCAATTCCACTAGCAGAAACGGATGGTATAACCTCATTAAAAAGGGTAATTCCGGGGCGCGCCTTCCAGGATGCTTCTCGCCGTGTTTGACCACTCCGTGCCGAATCATGAACAGTTGTCCGTCCCGTAGCGACGCCGCCCGCCACAGATCCTCCACCCGATTCACCCGCAGGCTCGGGTACTCCTCGGCTCGGCCGAACCACAGCTCCGGCTCTCCCCGAACCTCAGCCTCGGCAGCACCACCAGTACTACCATTCCTACTGCCAGAGAGAACTACTCCCTTCCCACCGGCACCAGCAGCACCACCACCACCAGCACCAGCGGCAGCGGCGGCGGCTGCAGCTTTGGCATTTTCTGCCAAAGCATCTGGCAGCGTTGCAAGTCGGTCCACAAATGGAATAAACCGGGCGGCAACAGCCATCCAGGGGATCGAGATCTGGCACAACGTCCTGTCTCTGACGTGGCAGACAGCTGGCGGCGCGGGCGGCAGGGGTTGCCAGGCTGGCAGGTTGCGCATCTGGAAGCGGTTGAAACCGACCAATGAGAAGAAGGCGAGGACGAGCTGAGCCTGCTCTGATTGGCCCTTGGGAATGAGAAAACGGGCGGGGGGTGTGGCACTACTGCTGCTGCTGCTGCTGCTGCTGCTGCTGCTGCTGCTGCTGTCAAGGCTAGTACCCTTTCCACCTGCCTCGACTCCCCCTTTCACTGCACTACCCTCCTCCCCACCACCACCAGCAGCATTGCCTGCAACACCTGCACCGTTCACCTGCCACCCTTCGCCATCCCCCTCCTGGCCCTCTGTTGTCCACACGTGGCCCCTTAAAGTGGCGTCCACGAACCCTCTACACTGCTGCCCCGTTATAACCCCCCACTTGTGCCGCAGAAACACCTGATTGGCCGAGCACACGTCAGCGCCGCTCTGCCGCGCAAAGTAGATCAAATCCCGCGCCCCCACGCTGGAAGACGGGTGGTGGTACACCACTATAGACTGCGGCACTAAGTAAGACTTGTAGTTAAAATACCGAGTCGTAAGCGCTAAGTCCAAATCCTGCCGGGTATACCCGACCTTAGGGTCGAACAGAACAGCTTCGGAAAGAAACGACTGCCGAACCAGCATGCAGTGGTCCTCCACGCCTACCGGAGATTCCCGAGGGTCCAGCAGGCTCGGATCCCTGGTGCCTGCCACGTGGACGTCTTCTATTGGCTGTGGGTACAGCTTCCCGTCGTTGCTGTAGTCGTCAAATAGCATGTCAGAGGCAAAGGCGGCATGGGCTTTAAGGCCCTCTTGCTTCGCCACTGACCCGCTACCCATGCTGCCCCCCCCAGCAGCACCACCACCACCGCTACTAGCAGCACCAGCAGCCACACCAGCAGCGCCAGCACCAGTGGCCGCACCTGCAGCAGCACCGGCACCGAGCCTACCACCCAGGTTCGTCGCACCACCATACGTCACCGCCCCTCTCCCCCTTCCCCCCGCCCCTCCCCCTACGCCCGCCCCTCTGCTGAGACCCCCCGCCCTGAGCTTCGCCCCCCCGCCCCCCGCATCCCCCCCCCACTCCCAAATGAACGGCAGGAAAATCACCCCTTCAGGATGCTTCTCAGCGAATCTGAACAGATGCTGCAACCAGTTGGGTCGATACGGGAACACGTCAGAGAACACAAAGAGCGCGTACTTAGTGCGGATTAACTCTGATGATGCGTTTCGCATTAGGTATCCGCTCGCATATTCGTCCTCCATCTCCTTAACGAGTATTCTCCGCCCTCCCTGTACTTCCTCCCCCTTCCCCCGCCCCTTCCCCCTGCTCTTCCGCCTCCGCCTATTCCCTCCGCCACCATCCCCCCAAACCAGTTCAGGATCTGCAAACCCTAATCCGCCGCCCGCTGCCCCCCCCGCGCCTGCGCCTCCCCCTCCGCCGCCCCAGCCACCCCACATCCCACGTGCGCTCTCCGCTTGCCTGCGCCTGACGTGCGCGCGCGTGCGCGCGTCCATTGCGCCGGGGATCATGTAGATCACTGGGCAGGGGGGAGTGGTCGCGAGAATCGCGTCCAGCTGCGCGGCTGCTGTTCCGAAAGAGTGCTTTGCGCTGATCACTATAGTCACATCGCGAGCCAGCCGCTCGTTTAGAGCACGGTACACGTCAGCATTCCCCTGTAAGCCCTGGTTCCCGGAGCCAATCAGAGACGCAGGCAAGGTCCTCGCGCTGGCGCCTCCTGATTGGTCCAGTTTTCCGCCATTGCCCCCCGCTACCTCCCCTTCTCCCCCATCATACCCTAACCGCATGAGCCTCCGCCGTTCCGCTAGGCTCTCTCCCCCGCTGCTGCTCCCCGCGCTCCCCGCTCCGCCTCCGCCCTTCCCGCCACCGATCAGGCTTCCCCTGATCCCTTGATCGGGGGAAGACCACAGCAGCTGTTGCGCGGATTCTCCCAAATCCCGCCAGCGTGATTTGCGCATTGCCGCAACGAGCAGATCGTCGATCGCCGCCGCGGCTCGACTCGAATCCTCCCAAAACGCCTTTCCCGCCGATTCCCCCGCGGATCCCCCCCCGCTTCCACTGCTTCCGCGGCTGCTGCCGAACCTAATGGAGAATTCTCCAGCTGCCGAACCGAATCCTGAACCTCCTTCCCCGTTCCCCGTCGCGCCGCCATCTAATCTTATGTCGAGCACGGAATACAAGAACACACACGCGACGCCGACCGCGAGGAAGAGAAGAAGGCGGCTCGAGGAAAGCGCGGAGGACATGAGGAGACAGAGCCGGGGAAGGTAACGTCTGGGGCGGGTCTTACTAGGGCTATGGAGCGGATGGTCTACGTGGGGGGACTGGTGGCGTGGAGACTGGCGGTGGTGCTGATGATGATAATGGAGCTTGACGCTCGGCCGGCCATCCATTGCTGCCGTTGGATCTTGAAGACGGTTAAATCCGGCCGTCCATTGTGACGGAGGATCTGTGAGGGGAGTCAGCCGAAGCCGTCCATTGCGATGGACGGAATGGATTTGGTCAACGGAGAAGCATAATTGGTAGACGACACGCTGTACTTCCTTCGTGAAAACTCTCTTCGTTAGTTTCTTCGATAAACAACCAGCTGGATTGTGGCGACCTCAAAATTCAATGCAATCGAGCTGACTGTGCGATCGCGACACGACCAAAGTGCCACCTGTCCGACCGCGACTGACTTCAGAAAAATCCGGAACGACGAATTCAATAAAGTCACGATCAACAGTAGGCAGCCAATGATTGAGCTGCCGCTACCTACTAATGCTTGAGCCTCCTATGATAAGTCAACGTACAAATGTTTATGTCGTCACCTAATAATCGTAGACCTACCAATCAAGATCGGCTGAATGACGGCCTAGTTTGACCCTGTAGTTACCACACTCTCCCACCTGACCACTCGCCCTTCGCGAATGGCCAAGTGCAGCAGCATTATGCGAAGGGATCGATATTTTCGACAGCGAATCGGCAATCGATCTGCTTTCATGCGCCACAGAATTCTGCTCGCATAGGTGTTACCAGCTACGTCGCAACTTCGCAGAGCCCATTGCCAGCCAACCACGATGTTGTCCTTGGTTTCGTGGTGGGGGGTTGCTGCGATGCGGCAGTGGTTTCGCGCAGATCCAACAGGCGAAGGTTATCCACAGTAACGGAGAGTGGAAGCACCAAGACGAAGCGCAGGTGTTCACAATACGCGGTAGAGTGAATTGACTGTGATTCTGTTACGTTGCTCGATACACTTCGAGCAGCAATGGGAGATCGCTCTATTCAACCATGGTTGATCTAGCCCCTTAGTGTCAATCAATGAGCAATCAGTAGATAAGAAAGCATGCCAAGCCTAACCTCGTTGGGTGGTTTGGTTGTACATCAGAACAAATATCAACCTAGCTAATGCCTTCCCATCTTATTAAGATCCTGAGCTGTCCACCCAATTATCCCAAACCCTCGAGTCGGGCTCAAAGGAGGGCTTGCAGGTGGAGTGGAGAACGGGCTACGATTGGCCTGATGCTGCTGGTGGAAATGACTGCCCGTGTTGTTGCCCATGTTCGGCGGTTGATGTGAGTATGCGCTGACGTTGCCAGTGCTTGGCTGCTGATGGTGGTGGTAAACGTTGGTGCCCATGCTCTGGCTGAGGGGAGGAGGGCCGGCTTGGTTGCCTGCTGCTGCATTCATTGGCCGCCCCCGTGGCTGGCGTGTTGACCTGCAAGCACATACACACACACATGCATATCCACATGAGCACATGGTTGCTCAGGCCAGCCTTAACTCTGAAATTAATGTATCAGGTGATTCAGTGTGGCAAGCATGCAGACTCTTGGAGAGGCATAAACACTTCCACTTTGCATTTGCAGGCTTACATGGAGAGGCAAGACTCGTTGGAGGAAATGCTGCCGTTCCTCAGCTTGGACAAGTTCAAGTCCTGCTGCACCACACACACACGATGAGCACACAAACATCAAGAAAACTCGGTGTAATCGACATACATGCTCCACATGCCATAACCAAAGCTGCCTCCCACACCCTGCACCACACCCCGATCTCCCTCCACCTTTTTCCAACAATACAACCACCCTCATACTACTGGCAAAGCACCTGTGCTCCCCCTTTCCTCCCCCGCGCACAGAACAAAAGCATATCACCAACGCACCTCGGATCGCATGCTGGACGTGCGGCTGCAGGAGCGGCTCTGAGAGCTGCCTGTGCCGCTCACAATGCTCCCAGCCGCTGCTGCAATGGCCGCTGCAGTTGCTGCATTCATGTTCGTGCTGCCATGGCTGACCTGGCTGCCAATGGTGCCATGCATCCCACTGCCCTGTACCCCACCGCTGTGCATTCCACCGCTGCCAACCGCGTTGAATCCCGCCATTCCCATTCCTGCCGTCCCCATGCCTCCTCCCATGCTGCTGCTCATGCCATGCAGCCCACCACCAGCACCTGCCAAACCTCCTCTGGAGGCTACCGAGCCTGCTCGGGACGCCGAGCCTGCAGCACTGGGCGAACCAGCCAAGGAGGAGCCACTGGTGGTGCTGGTAGCCGGACCATTGTGCTGATTACTATTTCCGGCAATACTACCATTTATAGCAATGCCGGCGCTGTTCTGCACATGCTGCTGCTGCTGCTGCTGACGAGCTATTTTCCCATCTGCACCTTTGCTTGGGCCGACAAAGAAGGAATGTCCAACCGTCGCAGAGCCAGCAGTAGCACCAGAGCCAGCTGTAGCACTGCCAGCAGCGCTGTTGCGTGTGGGGGTGGTGGGGCGAGACCCTCCTCCTCGTGCTCCTGCTGACCCCACCACGGCCTGCCCTGCTGCTGCTGCTGCTGCTGACGGCGTTGCTGGCACTGCTGCTGCATTACTCTTCCCAGCGGACGCAGCAGCAGCAGCAGCGCGCTTCTGGCGCCTGAGCGCCTGCTGCTGCAGCTGGTGCTGCTTGAGTTGCTGGTAGAACTGCTGCTGCAGGTAGTGAGGACTCTTCTTCATCTGCGCCTCCATGTGCGCCTGCAACCGCTCCTGCGCCCCTACCTCCTTCCCGCCCTCACTCTCCCCTGCCTTTCCCCCCTTCCCATCCCCCTGCTGCTGCAGGTAGTGAGGACTCTTCTTCATCTGCGCTTCCATGTGCGCCTGCAACCGCTCCTGCGCCCCTGCCTCTTCCTTCTCCCCCTCCTCCCTCTCCTTCTCCTTCTCCTGTTGGGACTTCACCGCCCCTTGTCCCTGTGCCTTTGCCACCACACCCTGCGCTTGCGTTTTTTGTGCCCCGGCCTGCCCCTGCCCCGGTTTCACTGCTGTGTTTTTGACAGCAGCAGCGGGGCTCTTGAGGCTGCCTGGCCGCTGCACCAGCACCTGACTCGGCCTGCCTTGCCCTGCCTTCTGACCTGCCTTCACCTGCAGCTGCTGCCCTGGCTTCCTGTGCTGCTGCTGCTGCTGCTGCTGTGAGCGTGGAGACTTCAGCTGCTGCTGCTGCGCTCGGGGTGATTTGAGCTGCTGCTGCTGCTGCTGAATGACGTGGCGGATGGGGATTGGTTTGGGGGAGGTGGTAGCGGGGGAGATGGGGCTCATGGGGGAGGATGGGGAGGGGCGAGTGGGGGAGAGCGGGGAGAGAGGGGAGAGGGGGGTGCCACGTGACCCGATCCCTCTGGTCGGGGAGAGACGAGGAGTGGTTGGATTGGAGGAGTGAGGAGCAGTAGCACCAGCATCACCACCAGCATCGGCACCAGCGGCTGCAGAACCAGCATCGGCAGCAGCACCGGTAGCAGCAGCGCCAGGCATGGCTACACGCGGGGGGGGGAGCATTTCCCCCGACATCTGCAGCTGGGACATCTGCAGGGCGTTTCTCCCGGACCCGCCTGCTTCGGAACGAAGGGTACCACGGGCGGACGAGGGCGACGGCGGGCGCTGCAGCGGGTTATTATGCACAGCGGAATGCGTGGGATGCGAGGGATGCGGAGGTGTAGGGCCGGGGGAGGGCAGCGAGGGCAGGAGGTGGAGGGAGTTATGAACGGACGCGCAGGGGGAGGGGATGGCGGAGGAGAGGAGCGCACTGGACCTCTCCTCTGAGATGGCGTCTAGAGCCATGCCGGGTGGTAACCGGCCTGTAACCGCTGCGTAGTTGAGCGCACGGATGATAGGATCAATCTTGCTGGGCGAGGAGGAGGAGGAGGGGGGTGCACCGTTGTTGCCGCCGTTGTTGCCACCGTTGCTGCCACCTCGCCAGGTGTTGGGAGTGTTGGGAGTGCCCGGGGTGTTTGGTGTGTTTGGGGAACCGCAGTTACTGTTTGGGCTGCCGCTGCTTCCGGTTCTCCGAGGGCTGTTGAAGGCGTTTGGGGCGGTTCTGGGGCTGGCCAAGGGGCTGACAGGGGTGGAGAACGGTGCTCTGCTGTGGGGTCTGGTTCCGTTGGTGGGTCGGAGGGTGGGGCTGGTGGGTTTGAGGAGGGTGGCAGGGTCGAAGGAGGATGGGATGGGCAGAGGGGGAGGGCTGCTGTGGCCACTCCACCAGTTGGAATGGTGCCCTCCGCCCACCGCTGCTGCCGCTGCTGCTGCTGCTGCTGCTGATGCTGATGCCGCAGATCCTCCCTCCTTGGGTCTTCCTGTCTTTCCCAGAATCCCACCACCATGCCCTCCATGAACAGAAGCTATCGCAGCACTGGCAGCACTAGCAGCAGCAGCACTAGAAGCACCCGCACTGCCCACATTAGCATGCGCTGACGCTTCCCCTCTTTCTCTCCCACCTCCGTCCTCGCTTCCCTCCCTCACCTCCTTCCTCTTACCACCACCTCCGCTGCTATCACACGAAACCTCTCTCCTATGCCCCTCTCCTGGGGGGTTCTCTGCCCCACTGCCATCATGGTTCCATTCCCTCCTTCCCCTTCCCCGCCCCGCTCCCACACCGTCCACACCCTCACTCAAATTCTCCCAAGGCTCTGCGCTTTGCTTCTGCCAGCCGTCAATGCCAACAGCACCATCTGACATAGTCCTTGCAGGGCCCTTTTTCCCTGCACCCGCGCCCAGGGAAAGCTCTTGCTGCTGCTGGTGATGATGATGATTCCGTGTGTTACCGCTGCCGGTAATGCTCTTTTTAGCCCTCTGAAACAGCCTCTGGAACATGCTCTGCTTGCTGTGGTGGTGCTGCTGCTCGTGCTGCTGCTCGTGCTTGTGCTTATTGCGGGTGTGACTGTGCCCGCCCTCGTTAAACTCACCATGGCTGTAGAAGCGCCTGTGGCTGCTGCTGCTGCTGTTCTCAGTCGTCTCACCTCCGTTATAGTCACAGGCGCCGCCTAGAGTCACCAGCATTGCGTCACCCACGTCAGCAGACACAGAGCGGCGAAGCCTGCTGCTGCTGTTGCTGCTGCTGCCCATGCCAGCATCCCCCGCAACACGCTCTTGCACACTCCCAATCTGCCGCTGCTGCTGCTGCGCCTGCCATTCCTGCTGCCGCTGCCGTTCCTGCTGCAGCTGCTGCTGGGGTTGCTGTTCCATCCTGTGTGGCATAAGCATTGCTTCCCCGCGCCTCTCCCACTCAACGACTTCCCCACTCTTCCCCCGCAACACGTTCTGCCGCTGAAGCGACGGGCCCTCACCTTCCCCCTCCCCTTCCGCCGCATGGCCGTGAGATGACTCCAACGCAGCGGCGAGAGGCGTTGCGCTGGGGTTCCGCCTTCCCCCCAGACTAGCGCTGCGACACAGGGACTCCCGCGATCCCCGCACATCCGCCCCCTCTTCTCCGCCTTCTCCCCCGCTTCCTCCGCCCGCGGCCGCCCGGCAGCTGCTTCCGAACGACGCCGATCGGCGCAACGCGCCCCCTCCGCCTCCCCCTTTCACGCCCTCCATCTCAATCTCCTCATCGATATCATCGCCAAAGATATTATCCCCCGTTTCCACCGTCTCCGCGCGCCTCAAGGGTAAATTACCCTCTTCATCGTCCTCCTCCGCTTCCCCTTCCGCTGATCCACCACTCCGCCTTCCGCCGCCGCCGCTGCTGCTGCTGCCGGCGCTGCGGTCGCTGCGCTGCCGTGCGAGGGGCACGGAGGGCCCGTCGTCGTCTCGCAGCTCAGTGAACGTGTCGTCCACCTCTGCTGCCTCCTCCCCCTCCTCTTCTCCCTCCCCCTCCTCCTCCTTCTGCTCCTCCTCTCCCGCCGCCTCCTCCTCACCCTTCGTCGCTTCAGCATCCTCCCACTCCTCCTCCATTTCGTTCTCTGGTTGCACCTCCGTTTCCTCACCCCCCCCCTCCTCTTCTCCGCACTCTTCACCTTGCTGTTGCTGCAGCTTCTTCTCTTCTTCGTCCTCCTCACTCTGCTTCTTGCCACGCGTCACTTCCTCAGTGGCAGCAACGCCTGCCGCCGGACTCCCTAAACCAGACCCCGCAGATTTATTCGAACCTGCCCGCCCTCTCAGTGCCGTTCCGGAGCTGCCCGGGCTGCCCGAAAGAAAACCAAGCGGACGCCGGGACATTGGGCTGGTCGAGGACGCTCGGGCCGTTTGGGGAGACCTAGGCGTTCCGGGTGTATAAGGCGTATCGAGTGTACCGACTACACCAGCCCTGTGCTTATCAGATACGCTCCTCGAAAGTCGTCCCCTCGTCCCGCTGTATCCGCCACTCGGGGAAGCAGCGCGGGGAGAAGGCGCGCGGAAAGATCCCGTGCGGGAGAAGGTACCTCTGCTGTTGCTCCCCCCGGGGGAGGCAGCGCGCGGGGAAGCAGCGCGGGGAGAGGCGGCAAGACGGTTCGTGGCGGAAGAAGAGCCAAACCCGCTTGCTGCTCCGCCGCTACTGCTCCGCCGCAACACGGGACTTCCGCTGCGCCCTCTTGCTGCGCCTGCCGCCTTGCTGCCGCTACCCGCGCTGCTGGCGCGGGGAACAGCACCAGCACCAGCGGCTCCGGCGACAGCAACAGCAGTCTTAGCCTTATCACCAAACGCAGTACCAGTCTTAGTCTTGGCTCCACAAGAGGACGGGGACGCGGACGGGGACGCGGAGGTGTCTCTCCTTGCGCCTGTCTCTCTCTTTGCGCCTGTCTCTCTCTTCTCTCTCGCTTCCACCAGCGCCATCAGCTGCTCTATCTCCCCATCCCCTCCCTTCTTCTCGTCCTTCTCTCCTTTCTCGTCTCTCCTTCCTTCGTCCTCATCAGACGCATTAGCCTCCATGCTTCCCTCCCCGGACTCACCTCCGCTTTCCTCCCCGTCCCCTTCCCCTTCCCCCTCTTCCGCCCCGCCCTCCACCTCTTCCCCCTCACGCCCGCCCACACTACCCCCTCTGCTCAAACTCCCCACTCTTCCCCATGACCTTCCGCCAACACTCTTCTCCCCCGCAATCTCCGCTCCGCCTCCGCCTTCCGCCGTCCCCGAAGTCCCCAACCCGCTCTGGCTCTTCAGATCCTCGCCGTCCATCGAATCCCAGGGCAGCGGGATGCCCTTGATTGGCGGCGGCCGTTTCTTATCCAGGCTCGGCCGACCCTGGTAGACCGGAGGCCGGCTCGGCGTCGTAGGCTCGGCAGTCACGAGCTGCTCCATCTTAATCGTTTTCGCGACGCCGTTCGCGTCCGTTACAGTCAGCCCCGTTACAATCATGTTGCCCGTCCGAAGCTTCGCGTTCGGGCTGACACCAGGCCCGACAGGCGAATTCCCCGCAGCGCCGTCATTCGCGCTTCGAGGAGCAACCAACGATCCCCGACCCGACTGCAGGTGGTTCGGCAGAGGTCCGGAGAGAGGGCGAGAGAGGGAGAGCAGGAGCGAGAGCGGAGTGCCCGAGGAGCGTCTTAATCCGTCTTCTTCGTCTCCTAGTTGCAACACGCCGAATTCACTGGCGTTGATGCTGTGACGCGGCGAGGAGAGAGTGTGCACCCACTGCTCGCCACTCACCCACACCGGGTTACCACCACCACTCGCCTTCGCTCCGGTGCCGTCGCCTTCGCCGTTGTTCGCCGCGTACGCTGCGGCCATGTGACGGGCGTAGGCAGACACCCCCTCGGCGCGGCCGAGGGAGACGGATCTCCTGAGATTCGCGCCGCCGCCGCCGCCGCCAGCGCCGGCACCGTTGCCGCCGTCTGGGCACGGGCTGTCGGCGGCGGGCTCGATGAACGAAGCGCGGATGGACTGCGCGAGGAGCGCCGGCGTAACCGGGTCCGCCGCGCGGGGAGAGCGCGGCGGGATGATTTTCAAATCGTGGTTGCTGCTGCGGAGATGCTTCACTTCGTTGCGCAGCCGCCGCCCTTCCTCCTCTTCCTCCTGCAGCCGCCTCTTCAGTTCCGCCACCTCATTGGCCAGCTCCTCCACGTGGCCCCACACCACCGACCCGCTGCTGCTCCCGCCGCCGCCGCCGCCGGCCGCGGTGCCGTCTTTCGGGTCGTTTTTTACCCCCGAGGAGCCTGCCTGCGCTTCCTTCTCGTTCGTGCTGCAGCAAGACGCGACGGAAGATCCGGCGGGAATTGCGGCCATCGGGCCGAGGCCCCAGATCGGGTCGGCGTTTTCGTCGTCTTCGTCGTCGAAGTTGAGATGACGTGGGTGGTGGTGGCGCTGACGTGGATCGTTGTGGTCGCAGCAGTGGTGGTGCGGGGAGTAGTGTTCGGGCGACGGGAGGTGGCAGCAGTCGTTGTTGCGGTCCTGTCCGTTGTCGTTAATGTTGTTCGCGAAGAGTTCGCGATGGCGATCCCCTTTCACGATGTTCCAGCGACCGCGGATTGGCGACTTGTGACGCGGAGAAACAACATCCTGTGCAACGCGGGAGACAAAACACGCGTAACGTAGACAATACAGCAGATAAAGATATTACGAACATTAGGATGGGTGAGTCCTAGAGTGGAATAGCACGTCTGTACGGATTAAGAGGACTAGTTTTCGTCCAAAGAGCATCGGGAAATGGCTAAGCTAGGAAGAACGGAAGCGTGGGGAAAGGGGGGGATCGAGGACAAGGAGATGAGTGCGGGAGTTGACTGAAGAAAATCCTGAAGAAACACCGTTGAATTCGTATAGCAGCTCCTTTCCACTGCAATCGAGTGAATTCCAGTGATTCTAGAGCTTTTTGGAATCCGATTACTCTCACATCACATCAGCAGGTTTTTAAGAAGCGGTGTCACAAAGACTCACCCGGTTCGTCGACTTGGGCTGCAGAGCGCCAGCCATGGGGCTGCTTTTCCTGCCGCCAAAGTCCATGGCTTCATTTTCTACCGGCAGACTCCCGCCGAAACATGCTAAGAGCCGCTTCCCGGACTTCGGAGTCCGGTTTTCCTTCCTTCTGCTAGATGGTTCTTTTCTCCCGCCTAGCGGGCTAAGATTGCCCACTGGGCTCCACATGGTGCTTCGATTGTAATGCTACGCACAAAGACGCTTGTGCACGGTGTCACTAAGAATCAACGAGTGTGTTCTAAGGTGGAATGGGATGGGATTTGTCTGGATATGAGCGCAACGCACGGTTGCATCTCGAGCTGGGTCTGGTATACTCCCAGCACTCGAAGTTATCTCTTTTTTTTTGCTCAAGGGAAGAACTCGACTATTGTGACAAGGAATCTCAAAATGGAACTACCCTGTGTGTCAATGGCCGTGACTTCCAGCTGTGGATTCAGATCAAATGAAGAGACGTCGCAACTACTGCTTGCTAACGTCTGCCTCCTGGACACATCTACAGAATACCAAGAAACTCTCGGCTCAAACAAAGGACATCTACGGGCGGCAAGGAGATTCAAGCCAGTGAGCTCCCTGCCTTGGGAGTTCCCCGAGGTTCGAGCTTCGCCTGGCCGTTGCGCGGTTTTCGTTCCTCATTGAGGTTCGTTCGATTCGAATTTCGAGCCACACACGTAGTTCTATTCCCGAAGCGCGGTACTTCCTTTGAGTGACAAGAATGACGGAAATGATGATGCAATATCGGTTCAGTGCGTTTACATCACTTTCAGTGCGCTGTTGAGGTTTCTATATGACACAAGAGAAGGCATGGCTGTGGTTGCGAGGGAAACTGATGTTTTTTCCATTCCGTGATGGGGGGGACATCGTGGCGGGGAGACCTTGGGATTTGGCGGTTGGGATCACCTGAATTGAAAATACATGAGGCCCAATAGCAAAAGTCGATGAGTTGCACCTTGATGATTCAGGCGGGAATGTTCAATCAAATTTGAATTGTTGGCGGTTTCTGAGCACCAGTGACCGTTTTATTTTCCAGGTCAAGATCCCAAGACATTTGATTCGAGCCAAGTGATTCCCGCCATGGTGTCCCTCGACAAAACATATGCTCACAAAGCGTCAGCTCTATCTTCCTAGAGTTCCGTAAGTGTTTGAGTGGTCGTGCAGTATTAGCCCAACTCATTTACGAAACGAAAAGCCAAGGCTTATTCAGCCGAACGGGAACAATCTTTGGTGCAAGGAATCGCACAAGAACTGGCAGAAGTATTCTGCATCCCCCAAAAGATGTTATGAACCAGCTATGACCCATTTGTTTCCAAAACTCGAGCTTCCAAACCAGCTGTGAACCACTCCTTCTCAATGGGTACTGCTGACGTCCGCAAAGCTTTGCTCAACTGACGAAACTCTGCTTATACGTAGCGAAACTTCCAACTTCATTGGCGAAACCTCCAGCGGGTTTATTCAGCGAATCACGAGCAGCTGGCGGTTTTACAGCACAACCCATGGGCTGTGTGGCCAGCACGGACCTTCCCATTTAGCTGGGGATTTATGGCGGACCATCCGCCATTGCATGCCACGTGTACGAAGATTTATGTTCGCGTCCAGTAGTCGTGCAGGTCCGCTGCGACTTTACGGCAACTACGACTCAGAAAGCGTTGCCTTTTAGCAGCGAATGCAGAGCCTAGCAATGGCTTTACGTATGCACGGATGTACAAATCGTTTGTGACCCACCAGATGTAGTTCGTAGGAATCGCGTAGCTCCATTTACATTAGACTCTCTCGTTGAATGCGGTACACAAGTGACGGCGCTCGTCTCGGTTCCCTTACCTTCCCCCTTGTTTCCTGCTTGAGGGCTTTCACATGATCAAGTCGCTGATCCTCGGCTTTCCCTTTTAGAGGTGGCGTGGATCCGCTGCTCAGATTCCCTTTTAGAGTATCGCTTTCATCACGGAGTAAACCCTTCAGATTCCCCGCAACTCAACTTTCGAGCCACAACCGTCAGAGTCGTAGCCGTCAGAGTCGTAGCAGTCAGAGTCGTAGCCGTCAGAGTCATTTCAGTCAGAGTCGTAGCCGTCAGAGCCGTGATTGATAGTGTGATGCGTGATCAGTGAACCCTGAATGATAAGCGAGAAGTTCGATTCGTGAGTGGTGAACCCTGATCAATGATCAGGTATGAGCCATCAGCCAGATTCCATCGTTAGCCAGTCTCGTGGAGGCCATTCGTAACCGCCTTCACCAGCGAGTTACCATCGCGATCGACGGTATCGATTGCACCTCCTCAGTCCCGCAGCCATGATCGACGGCGGAAATGTGTACCGCGTGTTCTGCGCCATCGTGCCGCTGTACGTGGGCATCGGATCGGGCTTCCTGTCCGTGCGCGTCTTCAAGATCCTCTCGCCGGACCAGTGCGCGGGAATCAACCGCTACATCGCATTCATCGCGCTCCCCTCGCTCGTCTTCCAGGTGCGCGCTCCTCATCGAGTTCCCTCCCTGCGTCCGCGCGTGCTCCCGTCGCGAATCCATACTCTCCTCTCGTGAGATGGGATGGGACGACTTTGCGGCACCTGGAAGGCTCTCATATGACCCGCGGTGGCCTCTGCTCCGCTCCCTTGCCGAAGCCAATCTCTTCCTTCTCCTGCAGCTCCATGTGATGTGCTTCCTGCTGTCATCCGACTTCCCTCCTGCATGCACCTTTCTCTGCTCTCAAAACCCCATCCTGGCCCCTCCCCGCAGACCATAGCCAAGACGGACATGTTCAAGATGAACTTCCAGATCCTGGGCGCCGACTCCACAGCCAAGCTCTTCGTGCTGGTAGTCGTGGTGGTCCTCTTCCTGCTGCTGATATTCCACCCCTGGCATCGTTCTCAACCCCCCACCACCCCTTGCCCCTCCCCGCAGACCATAGCCAAGACGGACATGTTCAAGATGAACTTCCTCTTCCTGGGCGCGGATTCCACAGCCAAGCTCTTCGTACTAGTAGTGGTGGTGCTCTTCCTGCTGCTGCGAGTGGCGGCCAAGCACCTCGCCGTTCACAGGGCCTTCCTCTGGTCCGCGTCCCTGTTCATGCTTGTCTCCATGCCCAACACTCTTATCATCGGTCAGTGCTCTTCTCTCGTCATCACTGCTGGTGGTCGTGTGCTTCCTGCTGCTGCGAGTGGCCGCCAAGCACCTCGCCGTTCACAGGGCCTTCCTCTGGTCCGCGTCCCTGTTCATGCTCGTCTCCATGCCCAACACTCTTATCATCGGTCAGTGCTCTTCTCTCGTCATCACTGCTGGTGGTCGTGTGCTTACTGCTGCTGCGAGTGGCCGCCAAGCACCTCGCCGTTCACAGAGCCTTCCTCTGGTCCGCCTCGCTCTTCATGCTCGTCTCCATGCCCAACACGCTCATCATCGGTCAGTGGTGGCCTTCTTCCCTCCCCCATACACACTCCCTCTCCATACCCTCTCCTCTCACTCGCTCGCTGTCTCTCCCTCTCTCTTTGTTTTCATGCCCAACACCCTCATCATCGGTCAGTGGTGGCCTTCTTTCCTTCCCCCATGCACGCTCTCTCTCCATACTCCATCCTCTCTCTCCATACTCCCTCCTCTCTCTCCATACTCCCTCCTCTCTCTCCATACTCCCTCCTCTCTCTCCATACTCCCTCCTCTCTCTCCATACTCCCTCCTCTCTCTCCATACTCCCTCCTCTCTCTCCATACTCCCTCCTCTCTCTCCATACTCCCTCCTCTCTCTCCATACTCCCTCCTCTCTCTCCATACTCCCTCCTCTCTCTCCATACTCCCTCCTCTCTCTCCATACTCCCTCCACTCTCTCCATACTCCCTCCTCTCTCTCCATACTCCCTCCTCTCTCTCCATACTCCCTCCTCTCTCTCCATACTCCCTCCTCTCTCTCCATACTCCCTCCTCTCTCTCCATACTCCCTCCACTCTCTCCATACTCCCTCCTCTCTCTCCATACTCCCTCCTCTCTCTCCATACTCCCTCCTCTCTCTCCATACTCCCTCCTCTCTCTCCATACTCCCTCCTCTCTCTCCATCGCTCTTCATGCTCGTCTCGTTGCCCCAACACCCTCCTCATCGGTCCGTTTTGGTTCCCCTGTTCCCGTCCACGCTCACTTGTCATGTCATACCAAACAAACTATCATCCTCATCATGCCGGCTCCCTTTCCTCCTCTCGTCCTCTCTGTCCTGCTACCGGCCCCGCTGCTCATTGTGTCTCCATGCCCAACACCCTCCTCATTGGTCCGGCCATGCTGACCTTCTTGACTTCTCATCCTCATCCGTGCAGCATCACTTGTGTGCTCCTCACCATTCAAGCACCTCATGCCGCGACACAAGTGGTGCAGCAGTGCTCGTGCTGTGCTGTGCTGGGTACAAGCCGGCCCGCCCGCATGTCCCCCACATCCCCGCATGTTCCCCTTTCCCCCTACAGGAGTACCACTGCTGTCAGCCATGTATGGGGAAGAGGCCGGGGACCTCATGGCACAGATCGTGGTGCTGCAGGTGAGTCGCGGATTCTTGAAATATTAGGGTTTCGAGCGCCTGAGGAATAGGCCATATGCGTACACCTCTCCATCTCTCACCATCTCTCACATGCCCGGGCTCGCGATTCCATCAGGGCGAATCAATGCAGGCAGTTGTGTTGAAGCCTCTCTCTTACTGTACTTCCCCCCCCCCCCCCCCCCCCCCCATGCCCGTGTCCAACCAATCACAGTCTGCCATCTGGATGCCGCTCACCATCTTCCTCCTGTCCTGCCAGCAAGCCACCTCCCTCAGCAGCACCCGCCGCGTGCACGACGCCTCCGCCCCCGCCCCCGCCCACGCTCGTTCGAACAGCACCGATACTGCAGGCACTGGCAGCACTGATAACCAGGCAAGCAGCACTGCCAACGGCCCAGCAAGCTCTGTTGATGTCTCTCACGCACAGGCCGGTGCTTCTATGTCCCATGGCCAGGTACAGCAGCAGCAGCAGCAGCAGCAGCAGCAGCAGCAGCGGCGGCGCATGACTCGCCTGGAGAGCATGCTGCTGTGCAGCTCCTCGTTCAATGGCAGCTGGTTCAACAGCCGCGGCTTCAATACAGTCATGCTCGCAAGCTCCGTCAGTGACAGCTCTGGTAGTGGTAGATCCGTTAGTGACAGTGACAGATCAGTTAGTGACAGATTCGTTAGTGGTAGAAGCACCGTGGTTGGTTTCAGTGCAACACGGTGCACATATGATGTGGATGGTACCAGATCAGAGGAGCCAGTGGAAACACCGACAGAGTCTGGAGCGTCTAGTGGGGCTACAAAACTGAGTTCTGAGGGGTCTGTGGCTAAGCCTAATGGGGAAGGTCAGAGGAGTGAGGGGAATGAGGAAGGGGCGTGCGTGTGCATTGAGGTAGAGGAATCCCAGACAACAGGTGGTGCCCAGGTGAGCCCTGATGCTGCTGCACCTGCAGCTGGAGCAGCTGGAGCAGCTGGAGCAGCTGTAGCTGCTACTGCTGCAGGGCTGCCGGCTGCTGGAGATGCAGTGGGAGGAGTGGGAAGGCCGAGCAGCTTCGGCCGGGCCAGCAGCTTAGGTCGGGCAGGCAGCCTCAGTCGATGCCCCTCGATACCTGAGAGCACTCCTTTTGAGGAGTCCTGGGATAGAGGGGGCGATGCAGAAGGTAGTTCCAGCCTCAGAAATGGAGGTGGCAGTTATGCGGATACAGGTTCAGTAGTGAAGGACCAGCAGCAGCGGCAGAAGAAGAAAGAGGAGGAAGAGGTGCAAGGGCAAGTACCAGAGATGCCATCGGTAGGGCCAGAGGTATCATTGGCTTGCTGTAAAGGGGTGGAGGCTGAGAAGCAGGGTGGAGGAGGGAGCGGGAGAGGGTGGTGGAGGAAGGGGAGGAGGAAAGGGAAGGGGAAGGGGAGGAGGAGCAGGGTGGTGGCGGTGCTGTGGGTGGTGTGGGCGAAGCTGGTGAGGAACCCCAACAACTACGCGGCCCTCATTGGGGTTATCTACTCGCTCGTGTCCAATGCGTGAGTTGCTGCTAGGAGAATCAAGAATGCGTGAGTAACATCTGTGCCTTAGGAGGCGGGAGCTGGTGAGGAACCCCAACAACTACGCGGCCCTCATAGGGGTTATCTACTCCCTCGTGTCCAACGCGTGAGTTTCTACCTCCCTCCTGTCCAGCTTGTGAGTCGTATCTGGAAATTGACTTGAAGATAGTGTTTTCTGAGAGAAGCTGGTGAGGAACCCCAACAACTACGCGGCACTCATTGGGGTTGTCTACTCCCTCGTGTCCAACGCGTGAGTTTCTACCTCCCTCCTGTCCAGCTTGTGAGTCGTATCTGGAAATTGACTTGAAGATAGTGTTTTCTGAGAGAAGCTGGTGAGGAACCCCAACAACTACGCGGCACTCATTGGGGTTGTCTACTCCCTCGTGTCCAACGCGTGAGTCGTTCACTTCGTCCTCTCCAATGCACGAGTCAATGCTTTGAGACATCGCTCTCCACATTTGTGCCTTAGGCTTAGGATGCGGGAGCTGGTGAGGAACTACAACAAGTATTGGGGTTCCTCACCAGCTGTTGAGGAACCCCAACAATTGTGCGGCCCTCATTGCGGTTGTCTACTCCCTCGTGTCCAACGCGCGAGTCACTGCCTCCCTCTATCCCGTGTGCCCACTGAGTGAGTCGCTCGTGCGATGCATCTGCAGCGCTTGCCGTAGTAATCTGGGTGACTTTTGAGTCGACTCAAAAGTCGCCGCCCACTGAGTGAGTCGCTCGTGCAATGCATCTGCAGCGCTTGCCGTAGTAATCTCGCCAAGGGTATCGCACGCACATCTTCCTTTGTGCTTCTATGTATCCGTGGCTGGAAATCTGGTCAGCCAATCCTGGTCCACCTAGAGAGTCCAAGTCTCAAAAATCTCGCCAGGGGTATCGTACATCTTCCTTTGTGCTTCTATGTATACCTTATATCCACCTCTCGCTTTTCTCTCTCTCCCCCTATCCCCAGCTGCGGCTTCGGCTACCCAGAGATGTTGCACACGTCAGTCAAGATTATAGCAGACACGGAGTGTGTGCCTTTCTCCCTTCACCCATCACCTGCTCTCAACAACCCTTCTGGTCCCTACCTCTCCCCTCCGCATGTCCCTCCCCCTCGCCCTCTCCCCAGCTGCGGATTCGGCTACCCAGAGATGCTGCGCACGTCAGTCAAGATCATAGCAGACACGGGTCTTGGCATGTCCATGTTCAGCCTCGGTGAGTGCCACTGTGGCTTCTCATGTTCAGCCTAGTCACGCCCTGGCATGATCAGCCTCACCATCCCCTCGAGATCATAGCAGACACGGGTGTCCATGTTCAGCCTTGGTGAGTGCCAGCTCAGCCTGGGTGAGTGCCAGCTCAGCCCTGGATGAGTGCCAGCTCAGCCTGTGTGAGTGCCAGCTCAGCGTGGGTTGTTGTTTCTCATTTTCAAGTTGGGTAACTTGTTCTCTCTCTGTCTCCCTGTCTTCCACCATCCACTTTGGCCTCTATCCCTCCCTCTCTCCTCCCCACTCTCGCCCCGCTCCCGCCTCCTCCCCGTCACCTTCTCCCCCTTCAGGTCTCTTCATGGCCAGCCAAAAGAGTCTGCTCACCTGCGGGGTGTGGCACACTGTGTGGTCGCTCGCCCTCCGATTCGCCCTCACACCGCTCACCACCGCTCTCTTCGCCTTCCTCTTTGGCATCCGCGGCAAGCTCTTTCGAATCATTGCCATGCAGGTGGGGTTCGTATGCGGGTGGGGGGGAGGATCATTGGTTTTGAACTAGTTGCCATGCAGGTGGGGGGAAGGCTAAATTATTTTTTTTAGCTAGTTGCCATGCAGGTGGGGGAAAGGCTAAATTATTTTTTTTAGCTAGTTGCCATGCAGGTGGGGGGGTTCATTGCGTACCGCCAGTCCGCCATTCAGCCAGTCCTACATACATTCTACTTCTCCCACTGTCAGTCCGCTATGGCTCGAGGGATGGTGGCCTTTCTGCTGCCCCCACGGCCCACATCACCCCTCACCTACGATCCCCGTGTCTCGCCCTTGTCTCCCCCGTTTCTCCCCGTGTCTCGCCCTTGTCTCCACTGTTTCTTCCCCGTTGTCTCCCCCCTCCCTCAGTCCGCACTGCCCCCAGGGGTAGTGACCTTCGCGCTGGCCAACGAGTACAAGTCCCACACTGCTATTCATTGCCCTTCTCTCCCCTTGTCTCCCCCTTGTCTCTCACGTGTCTTCCCTTTGTCTCCCCCGTTCTATTACCCATTGGCTCCCCCCTCCCTTCTTCAGTCCGCATTACCCCCGGGGGTGGTGACTTTCGTGCTGGCCAACGAGTACAAGTCCCACACTGCCATTCATAGCACCGGGTGAGTACACTTGTATGCATGTATATATATATATATACAAATATATGTGTGCACGTATGCTGCAACAATATGCACTTATCCTTGGATGTGGTACATTTGTGTTCCCGAGTATCATAAGTCACACAGTACCATGCATGGGACCAGATGATGAGTACAATCAGTATACGGCTGTCATTACATGCCCCCCCCCACCCCCCCCCCCCCCATACCCTTCTGTTCCTTGTTTCCAGCGCTCATGACATATGTTGCATGCATCCGTTTCTTCCACTCAACATCTAGTGTGTTTTCGGGCATTCTTAACACCTCTTGACTTGCTCCAATGATATTTTCTCATCCCATATCCCTTGGCCACTGTGCTCCACCTTTGACTTCACCTCCCATCTTGCAGGGTTTGCTTTGGAACATTAATATCCTTTCCCATACTCATGGGCTATTACCTACTCCTGGGAGAGTGAGGTGTAAGATGCTGGCTGGCTTGTGCCATAGTAATGTGTTCCATTATCCCTAGTGTAATATATATTTCATTGATAGTTTTTTCTGTAGATGGCTAAGATTGTTTTCGGGGCCGATGTGATAAGGAGAGACTTATAAACCACAGCAACAACAGGCGAGGCGATGGGAAACAGGCGACGGCGGCTTGCCCTAAACGATTCAGGCAAAGCGCCAGCTTCGCACATGCGAGAACGTGCGAATCTCAATCGTCGCACCACCATGATTCACCCCGTGGAATTGAAAGATTGTACGCGTAACGCGTTACGACCTCGAGTTTCGCAGGTCGTTTGGACGGTCAGATGAGGCCAGAATTCGTCGTGCGGATGTGCAGTCGGTGTCAGTCGTAACATGGATATGAGATGGCATTAGATGAGTGGCTAATATTCTGCATTGTCCAGAGCGAATGGTCGCGCGATTCGCGCAGCTACTTGCGGTCTGGCCGGACTGGGCCAAAAAATGCCCAAGTTGACGCTGACAGCCCGCCGCAGTGACGCAGGATTTGTCTTCCCTGACGCCAGCTGCAATCCACTGTTGTGCGGAATTCGCACATGCCAGACAAAACCTCTGACCGAACCCATGGTCAGGTCAGGATGTGGTTCTGGTACGATTCAGCAAGGTCTTCGGACTCTTGTACCTTGGATTCAGCTCAGGTTCTCAAAGGACACATATCGGTAAAGAAGGTTCTTGTGTGGTTCAAACCTGGCAAACGCTCCAACCTCCAATGCAACATGAGCCACAACTCAAATCAAGAATCCCCTTATTGCCCCCCACCGCCATACAGTGTCAACCATACCTATGTGCCCCAAATCCTTAATTTTCTCCCGGACCTCCAAACCACCAGATTTCGACTCGGATCCTCCATACCATACCTTCGGTTCTCTTCTCTTATCCCCTCTGCGCCCCCACATCCCTCCCATCTCTCCTCCGCCCCCCTCCCAGCTCTCCGCCGTCTCCGAAAGCGTATTGTCTTCCAGAAGCTTTCTTTGACTCGTTTTCCGCGAGGCACGGTTCTTTCTATCTTATCACTTCGTTGTAGACCATTCTTGCATATGCAACGTCGAATCCGCTATGACGATCTCACCAGCTGACGCGGAATCGCCGCCGCGACTCGCGGCGGGCTGCTCCTTCATGTGCTGCAAGCGCCACGCGTTCGTTTTCTCCACCTCTATCGGCAGCACCAACTTCAGCGTCTGCGTCGCTTGTGCCGCCACGCGATGGCTCAAGCACACCGTTTTCGCGCTCCCCTCCTTCCTCCTCGTGCTGGCCGCTTTCTGGGCGATTAACGAGCTCCTGCTCCCCGTGCAATGGCGCTTCGACCTTACCGCGCCCCACACAATAACTCCTCGCATTCTCGTCCTGATGCTTCTGACGTGTCCTGTGATATGGCACGAGTGGGTGATCCCACGTGTGAACGCGCGACGCGAGCGGCGCGAAGACCGCCGGAGGGAGCAGCGGCTTGAAAAGGGTATTAAAGAAGCTCGGTTGCGAAAAGAGGCGACGCGGCGCTGTCGCAACTGCATGACTGCGTATCGCGATCAGTCGCCATCGTCGGGGAGGTTTACCTGTGCCGGTTGTGGACACGTGTCGCGCCGTCCGGTGCTCGATCTGCTCGATACAAGCCGTCCCGACAGTGTACGAGATCAAAGTCATCAACAGTCATGCGTTGCGGAGTCTAGCCCTCGCCGGCAGCAGCAAGAGCAGCAAGAGAAGAAGCAACAACAACAGCAACAAAAGGAGCAACAGCATTTCTCACTTCCACCAACCGAAGAAGAGATTAGCAGTAGTAGCAGTGACAGGGGCAATGTAGGTGGCAGCATACACAACACTAGCGCGCACGAAACTAGCAGTATTCAGGGGACCCTTGGGAATGCCGATAGGACCCTTGAAAATGCCGACGATCGCTCTGCCCGAAGCCGGCACTGGTTGCGCAACATCGTTTTCCCCGCCGTTTTCCTCCCCATTGCGGCGGTTTGGCGCGCTATTCTGCAGGCGATGGCGCTATTTTTCTCCGCCGCGGGATGGTTCCGTCGACGGCTCGTAGGCCCGCGCACGGCGGAAGCTGGTGTGCGCAGAGGTTCCCCCTCCGCAAGCGCTGAAGAGTGCGCGGACAGGGCAGCGCGGGCTCGGCGCAAGATGATTGGGATGCGGAAGCTTACGCGGGCGGAGCGGGAAGCGACGGAGGCGGAGGAGCGGAAACAGCGCGAGGAGATCGCGCAAATGGTGGACGCGCAGCGGAAGGCGCGGGAGCAGGCGGAGGGGACGAGTACGAATAACTGGGAGGTTGTCGGGAAAAAGCCTGCAACTGTCGGAAAAGCGGTCGAGGTACCATCAATAACGAGACGGGCTGTAACGAATAAAGAGAACTGCCCCTACAAAGGAAGCCGGTCCCAGAGCGTAGTGAGCGCTAAATCGCTTACAGGGCAGACAAAAAGTTTGGGGCAGCCCATTAGCAGCGCGCGCAGGGCGGAAGCGCCCATGCGGTCTGCGCAAGCGGGCGTGTTGGGGAAGGGGCAGGTGCGGAGTGGGTTGCCCGCGAGTTGTGATGATAAGGGTTTTGAGGCGCCTGAAAAGTCGGCCGCGGCTTTCGAGAATAAAGGCAGCAGCAGCAGCAGCAGCAGCAGCGGCAGCAGCAGCAGCGTGTGGAATAAGGGGAGCACTAGCGGATCCACTACCGGCGGCGGCAGCAGCAGCAGCGTCGGCGGCGGCGGCGGCGGTGGCGGCGCGCGGAATAAGGGAACCATTTTATGCCCAGCGCCCCCGCCGCGCTCTTCTAACGAGTACACTCCTTCCCCGATACAAGCCTCTCCGCCCACTCGAGATAATCGCACGTTCTCCCAGGTGGCAAAGAGCAGCAGCAGGAGAAGCAGCGGGGAGCACGACAAGCAGGGTGGCGCTAAGACGGAGGCCAAGGAAGCCGGACCCTCCATTGTCAGGTTAGGTGATTGGACAGGGAAGGAATGGCCGCAGTGGGATTCTGGTATTGGCACTTGTAGCAGCGGCAGCAGCAGCAGCAGCTTCAGTGGTGGCAGGAGCAGCTTCGGCAGTGTCTGTGGTAGGAGCAGCAGCAGCAGCAGCAGCAGCAGGGACAGCAGTGGCAGTGGTGCTAGGTTTCCCGAGTCTGTAACCGCCTCTGAACCCTCCACTGGGACGGGTGAGTCTGAAGTGACAGGGACGGCGTGCCTATGGTCGTACCCTGCCATTGCTCCCTTGCTTCATCCCGCCCCTGCTGCTGCTGCTGCCCCTGATGCTGCTGCCCCTGCCGCTGCTGCTGCTGCAACGTCAGTGTCGCCACCACGATTAGCCTGCGACCCCTTGCCCTCCACCTCTTCCTTCCCATCTTCCTCCTTCACCACTCCTATCAAGCAACAGCAGCAACAGCAGCAGCAGCAGCGGGGGGGGCAGGAGGCAGTAGCGTGTGGCAGGGAGTGGCAGATGTGGGGCTCCTCCCTCCGCCTCTCAGACGCGTTCGCCGTCACACCTCCTACATTTGCTGTTGCCTCCTCCGCTGCTCTTCCCTCCTCCTCCCCTCTTCCCGCCTCCGCTCTTTCCTCAAACCCTGTTCCTTCCTCTCCTGCTGCTTCCCTCACCAACACCACCACCACCCCTCATTCCTACCTCGCCAATCCCTTCGCACTCCCCTTCTCCTCGCCCTTCTCACTGGGGTTTTCACCCACTCTCGTGCCCGCCACACCCGTCGACCCAGCGCCACTGACAAATAGCCCACTCAATCTGAGCACCCCTGCTGCTCCTCTGCCCGGTACTGCTGTCGGGACAGTAGAGAGGAGCGGTTTCACCGGATCAAAGAACAATTTTAACGCAGCGAGGCATGCTTTCCCTGGGTCCTGGAGTGCTGGGGGCCAAGATTTGACTGGGTTCGGCGATGCGCTAAAGAGTAACGCGTTTAGAGCAGCAATCGGTGGCGGCAGAGGAGGGGTGGGCGGCGGGGCGAGCGGCGGAGGGATGCGGGCGGCTTGGATGGCGGAGATGTGGGACGAGGACGTGCCGCCCGCTTTCGTGGACTGTATCACGCAGGAGATCATGCGCGACCCGGTGATCACAGCCGATGGGCACTCTTATGAACGGGCTGCCATCGAGAAATGGCTCATGTGAGTGTGGGGTTGTGGTTGTGGGGGCGAGGGAATGGGGGAGAGTGAGGGTAGCATGCAGCACAGGAGATCATGCGCGATCCAGTGATCACAGCCGACGGGCACTCATACGAACGTGCGGCCATCGAGAAATGGCTCATGTGAGTCTTGGGGGTGGAAGGCTTGTGCGTGTTGGAAGGGAGGTATGGGTAGCATGCATCACGCATCACGTAGTATGGGTATAGGTGTGGCTGTGGTTGTGGTTGTGGTTGTGGTTGTGGCTGTGGTTGTGGTTGTGGTTGTGGTTGTGGTTGTGGTTGTGGTTGTGGTTGTGGTTGTGGTTGTAATTGTGGTTGTGAGGGAAAGAGACAGAGGTCTAAAACACAAATCTTGTCTTTCAATCCCGTCCCCACCTGCAGGCACCATGACACGAGCCCCATGACAGGCAAAGTGCTGCCTCCCTTACATGCTACAGCTGCCACAGCTGCTACGTCTGCTGCTGCACCTACGGCTCTTGCGACAGCTGCAACTGCTGAACCCTTTCAGGGGGACTGTTTCACCTCATGCCTTGCCGGCTGCAGCTGCAAACACAGGGGCCAGTGCATGGGCCAAGGCCAGTGCAGTGCGGTTGGGAGCGGTGGTGAGGGGTGCAGTGAGCATTGCATGGTGGACAAGACGCTGCGACCGAACCACATCCTGCGCGGGCAGATCATCGAGTTTCAAGAATTGATGGCGCTGCAGTGAGTTTCCTGCTTGACTGTCTGACTGTGCTGCAGTGTTCTGCAATGGGGTTTGCTGTGTGGTTGACTTGACTCCACTGCTCTTTAACATCCTGCGCCGGCAGATGGTCGAATTCCAAGAATTGAGGGCGCTGCAGTGAGTTGCCTGTTTGGCTGTGCTGCAGTGTGTTTCGCAATGTGGTATGCTGTGTGCTTTACTGCTCTTTAACATCATGCGGGCAGATCATCGAGTTTCAGGAGATGATGGCGCTGCAGTGAGTTGGCTGGCTGTGTCACTCTTTGACTGTGCTGTGCTGTGCTGTGCTGTGCTGTGCTGTGTGCTTGGCTGTTCTAGGGTTTGGGTGTAAGCGGATTAGGTTTGCGAGCAGATGATTGAGTTCCAGGAGATGATGGCGCTGCAGTGAGTTGGTTCAAATATATTCATGGTTTGTTGGCTTCCGTGCCGTGCCGTGCCGTGCCATGCCGTGCCATGCCATGCCGTGCCGTGCCGTGCCATGCCGTGCCGTGCCGTGCCATGCCGTGCCGTGCCGTGCCATGCCGTGCCGTGCCATGCCGTGCCGTGCCGTGCCGTGCCATGCCGTGCCGTGCCATGCCGTGCCGTGCCATGCCGTGCCGTGCCATGCCGTGCCATGCCGTGCCATGCCGTGCCGTGCCGTGCCGTGCCGTGCCGTGCTTTATTTTGATGCGTGTGACTGATTCCTTTGCCCCTCTCTGCTCATCCCTGCGTTACTCTCTCTGTGTGTGGCTGGCAGGGCAAGGGAGCGCACAGCAGCAGCACCCCCCACACGCGCTGCAGCTGCATTCACCACCTAGGGCTGCATTGCAGCAGCTGCTGCTTGCAGCAGCACGAGAGGATGCAACGAAGGGAGTGGAGAGCAGCAGCACCCCCCACACGCGCTGCAGCTGCATTTACTGGTACCACCTAGGGCTGCATGCATTGCACCTGTTGCTGCAGCATACATAAGACTGAATCACTCTTCAAAATTCCCATAAGACCAAGTACCGTACCATACTGGAGTTGAGACACCAAGGGCTGCCCTCGTAATCGATGGAGTAATTGCCATATGATGCCCTTTTGTTTCAAAGGTGTGTTTGTTCTGCTCTGCTGCTTTGATAGAGGAGAGATGGAAAGAAGGAAATAACAAAAAGGATGGAGCAGGGAGTGCACACTCGTTGCACAAGGAGCCTCATGCGTTGCAGTAGGTCAGGAGAGTTGGGGTGAATTATGATTTGGTAGAAACATACCGTAATTGACGTGTGGTTGAGTTCTGGAAACTTGTGTGTGTAGAGAGAAAAGCTAAATGATAGAAACAAAACCCACATAATTTATGTTAGAAACAGACACCACTTGCGTCTACCTGGGTATGTAGCGTGTGGTAAAGGGAGACTTTCTACGTGATACCGGTATAAGCTGTACTGAAGCAGATAGCAATGGTGCAAAGCATCCATAGGTATATTATAATGGGTCATACCATACACCATACACCCTATGCTAGCTAGTTATACACACACCGCCCACTCCTGCTGGTAGCGTGGACACCAGGCCTACCAGTAGCTGCACCCTCACCCCCATCATCCGCACCTTCCTCATCATCTTCCTCCCCTCGCCCACCACCAACAGCACCCCGCAGCCTTCTTCTGTTACTATCACCTTCGCCGTCACTCCCGCCTTTACGGCCACGACCACCGCTGCTGCTGCTCCTGCTGCTGCTGCTGGTGCCACTCCCACTGCTGCTGCTGCTGCCGCCACACTTCCCCAGAAGCCAGTCCATCATGGCGAGCCCGTGCTCGCCCGTCATCTCATGGAATGCAAATGCTACGTTCAACTCCTCCTCTATCGCCCCCTCCATCACCTCACTGCCCCCACCCTCTCCCCCCCCACCTTCTCCCCCCCCACTCTCACCGCTTTCCTCCCCTCCACCTGCACCTTCCTCCTCCTCATCCCCCTCTCCTCCTCCTTCTCCCCCTGTTCCTTTCCCTGCCCTGGAGTACTTACTCCCCCGTTCTAGTTCCTCCATCACCCCCTCTTTCTGCAACACAGCAATCCATCCCGACCGCCTTCCATCCCTCACCATCCTCCCATCCTCCCCCACCACTCCTCCCCGCTTCAACGCCTGGAAAATCCTCTCCGAAGCTGCCGGGGTTAGGTTCGGTATCCGGTCCGACAGGAAGCTCGGCCCGAGCCTCTTCTCCAGGCACGGGATCTGCCCAGCCTCGAAGCCTTTCGATTGGAGAATCTCGACCGCCCGTTCGACCGCCTCGGCGCGCTGCTCGTCTTTTGGCATGTGGACAAAGAGGGTCGGCGGGAACTGCCGCCCGGAAGGCAGCGGCGAGTCAAACGCCTTTTTGACCCCACTGGAGATGATTATAACGAGGGCTTGCAGGTCAATGGAGTGTGCTAGTAAAGAGATGAAGTATCCCCCAGAAGAGGCCCCCAGGGCGAAGAGAGGGAGGGTGTTGAATTGATGCTGCTGGCGCCAGGTGGTGAGAACCTGGACGACCGGGGGAATGTCCAGAGAGCGATCGGGTGGGAATGACGTATCCCAGCAGGTGGAGAGGCTGGGGGAAGGGAGGGGAAAGAAGAAGGGAGGGAGGGAGGAAGGTGGGAGAGAGTGAGGGGCGATCGCAGATAGCAGGCGGTGAGAACCTGGACGACTGGGGGAATGTCAAGAGAGCGATCGGGTGGGAAGGAGGTATCCCAGCAGGTGGAGAGGCTGGGGGGTGGGGGAAGAAGGGGAGAGAGAAGGGAGGGTGCGAGGGGAAGGTGGGAAGAGTGAGCGGCAGCTGGTGTTGCTGGCGCCAGGTGAGTGGCGCCAGGTCGTGAGAACCTGGACGACGGGGGGAATGTCAAGAGGTGACTTTTGAGTCGACTCAAAAGTCACCTTGAGGGGAACCTGGACGACCGGGAGAATGTCAAGAGAACGATCTGGTGGGAAGGACGTATCCCAGCAGGTGGAGAGGCTGGGGGAAGGGGGTGTAAGGGCTGTGGGGAGGGGAAGGGAGATTGAGGGGAACCTGGACGACCAGGGGAATGTCAAGAGAACGATCTGGTGGGAAGGACGTATCCCAGCAGGTGGAAAGGCTGGGGGGTGGGGGGGGGGTGGGGAATGGAGAAAGGGAAGGGACAAGGGGGGAAAGCGGACAAAAGGGGAGGGGCAGAGAGGGTGAGGGGGAAAGGTGGGGAAGAGTGAGCAGCAGTTTCTGGCGCCAGGTGGTGAGAACCTGGACGACTGGCGGAATGTCAAGGGAGCGACTGGGTGGAAAGGAGGTATCCCAACAGGTGGAAAGGCCGGGGGATGAGGGTGGGGGAGGGGGGGAAGGCCGGAAGGGAGGGCGAGGGAGGAAGGTGAGGGAGCGTGAGGGGCGGTTCCTTCCAGGGAGTGCAGGTGAGAACCTGGATCTCTGCGGAAATGTCAAGTTTTGAGATGTCTCAAAACTGTGCCGTGCCGAGAAGAGAACCTAGATCACAGAGGAAATAGCCTGCTTGGAATAGCAATGACAGCTGCGCGCCTGTTGCACGCGAGCCATGTCTTCAGGCAGGCAGGCCCAGGCAGGACGGGCGGGAGCGGCGGGTGTTGGTGTGAGGGCCAGAAGCAAGCAGCTCAGCCCACCCAAGACATGAGAGACTGACAAGCCCACCTGGACGACTTTTGAGGCGCCTCATAAGTTTTGAGGCTCCTCAAAAGTTTTGAGGCTCCTCATAAGTTTTGAGGCTCCTCATAAGTTTTGAGGCTCCTCATAAGTTTTGAGGCTCCTCATAAGTTTTGAGGCGCCTCAAAAGTCACCCAAGACATGAGAGACTGACAAGCCCACCTGGAGATTGCGATAACAGCCATGCGTCTCTTGAGTGCATGTTGCACGAGAGCCATGTCTTCAGGCAGGCCCAGGTAGGACGGGCAGGGGCGGTGTTTGTGAGGGGGGTGGGCCAGAAGCAATCAGCCTACCCAGGACATGAGGGAAATCGCGATTTCCAGGTGTGAGGGAATGGCACGCCCACCTGGAGATTGCGATAACAGCCATGCGTCTCTTGAGAGCATGCTGCACAAGAGCCATGTCTTCAGGCAGGCCCAGGCAGGACGGGCAGGCGCCGTGGGTGTGGGAGGGCCCAAAAGCGAGCCTACCTTGAAATGGCGATAACAGCTAGCCGTCGCTTCAATGCATGCTGCACGAGAGCCATGTCTTCCGGCAGGCCCAGGCAGGACGGGCAGGAGCGGTGGGGCGGCCAGAAGTGTGTGGCGCGGTGTGTGCACCCGTGCGCGAAGAAAACCACGCCTGCCAATGGCAGGTCGCCACGTGGCACCTGCCACACCACCTCCCTACCATGCATGGTTTCATATACCGGTACCAGTGACGGCGCCTCTCCTTCCTCCTCTCCCTCCTCCTCCTCCTCCTCCACCTCCTGTCGCTTCCGTGCTTTTGTCGGCGCCTCCCCTTCCCCCTCCTCATCCCCTTCCTCCTCCTGCTTCTCCTCTCGCTCGCCTGCTTTCTCCTGTCCTTCCTCCTCCTCGCTTTCCTCCACAAAAACAACTTTCGCTGTCCCCTTTTTGACGTCCTTCCTCTTCCCTTCCACCTCCTCCTCATCTTCCTCATCCTCCGACCTAGCACCACTCTCACCACCCTTACTCTCTCGATGTGCCTTTTGAGTCGAATCTAAAGTCTCCTCCTCCCCCCCCTCTACCTCTTCCCTTGTCCCTGCGTCAACCTCACCACCCTTCAGCTTCCCTTTCGCTTTCCCTCCCCCACACTCCACCCCTTCTTCTCCCCCCCCCTCCTCACCCTCCTCCTCCTCATCGTACCGCACTGCACTCCTCTTCATCCTCTTCTGACCCTCTTCAATCGTTCTCTCCTCCAGCTCACCACCATCACCATCACCATCACCATCATCATCATCACCATTCCTCTTACTCCCCTTTCCCTCACTCCCATCACCACTCCCATCCCCCACCCCATCGTCATAATCAAACCCCTCCCTGCTTCCCCGTTTCTTCTCCTCCTTACTCCCCTCCTTGCTACTCCCCTCCTCGTTACTCCCCTCCTCGTTACTCCCCTCCTCGTTACTCCCCTCCTCGTTACTCCCCTCCTCTCTTCTCCTCTCCTCTCGACCATCATCATCCTCCTCACCGCCCTTATGATCCACCCCATCGTCATAATCGAACCCTTCACTCCGCCGCTTCTTATCTGCAGCCCTCCTCTTTCCCTCCTCCTCACTCTCTCTTTCCTCACTCTCACCCTCCTCACTATCCTCACTATCAGCCCCCCTCCCACTAACACCCCCTTTTCCCCTTTCTCGTGCACTACCCCTCGCTCCATCCCCTCCTCCCTCCTCCTCGTTCTCGTTATCGCCGTCCTCGTATGTGTCTCTAGGAAGCTTCGACTTGGCTTCCTTCCTCCTCGTTCTCTGCTTCAACAGTCCCTCTTCGCCCGCCGTCTCCCCCTCTTCCGCCTCTTCTTTCCCCGCTTCCGCTTCCGCCTCCGTCTCCGCCTCCGCTCCCCCTTCTCCCGCTCCCCCTGCGCGCAACAGTTCTGACCGACCCACAGACTGCCCTTCAGAATCCGGCCGAGGAAAAGCAGACCCCTTTTCCGTTACCGTCTCCGTTACCGTCTCGTCACCAGACGACTCCGTCTCAGCCTCCGACCGAGAACGGGTGGATTCGTTCTCGATGAGATCACCCTCACCTTTTTCAGCCGAAACTAAACCGGACGAATGTGCTTGTATCGAGGTTGATGGTATCGGATTAAACGGCAGCTTAGACTCCCCCGTTAATTCCGGTCTAGGCATCACATTAAGCTCCGCAGATGCCGGGAATTTAACATCTGCCACGTCAGCATCTCCAACCCTAGCGCCAGTTCCGTCACCGCTTATTTTCTGATTGAACCGCTGCTTCGATATAGTTCCTTCGCCAAAGTCTATAGTGCGATGGTGCCGGCCGTGGCGGTGGCGGTGGTGGTGGTGCCGTCGGGTGTGCGGCGACTCTTTGGAAATCAGGATGAACGCCGCAAGGAAGAAAGCCGCGAGAACGTAGGTCGCGCCGCGAGCTCTCCGCACGGAGATGTTATAGCTCGCCGGCGCGACCCGCGGACTCCTAGGAACGTACATGATAGACGTACGGAGAATCGATGGACAAGCTGAGAAACGCGCTGGCTCCTACGTTCGGCAAATTTAGACTACTTACAGACTGCGACGTTTCTAAACCTATGCGAGTGCACGCAATCAGGATTCAGAATAAAGACTCGCGGCTGAAAGAAAGATAACAAAAAGATGGTCCAGTTGCAGGCCCTTGAAACTACAGTCCAGCATTTTAGTCGCCCTGAATCTCCACAAGCCAGTCGCAAGCAGTGTGTGAAATGGTGGTGTCAGACACCGAGCTGACGGGCGGGAAACCTGGGGAGTTACGGCTGGGGACGGATTCGCGACGAGCTAACGAAGGGCTTTCTTTCTTGGCGAAGTCCATTACCACTCGCCATAACCGAATCTTCGAGCTCCAAACTCGAGTCGAGAAGAGTAAGCGTGTCCAGATTTTTGGTAGACGAGCAAAAATAGTGCTCCAGAGCAATTTCTTCAAATACGTAGATTTCATTACGAAACAGAGCCAAGGTTAGGACAAATGTTTCCTCTGGTCCAACCTACTCATGACAGGATTGTGCCTACAGCACATCAGGGTGCAACCTGAACCAGCCACCAAATCCCAATCTAAACACCTAATTATGAAAACTTCCATTGTGGCCCGTCTCACCACAAAGCAAATGCGCTACAGCCTGCCCAGAAAATGTATGAGCAGAGCACAAAACCTTACGAGCAGAGCTACAAAGCCTAAGCAAGGGGCATAAATTACCGAGGGTCAAGGAAGGGAACTGGAAAGGCAACAGGCGACTAGGCCTGCAAGTGCAAAAGCATGCTGCTGGTGAAGGCGGTTGGTGTACAGTGTGAGGGAAGCAAGCAGGGAGCATAAGGATTGTGAGAAAGAGGAGAGAGAGAAGTGGGGAGCAGTTATGGGGTTTTGGAGAGGACGTGATAAGAAGCCAACTGCTATTGTGGCAGCAGCACCAGAGCCAACTAGGAGATAGACAGGGATTTGGGCCTGCCAGTACACTATTGCTGCTACCACCACTGGCTGCTGCTGTTGCTGCTGTTGCTGCGACTGCTGCTACTGATGCTGTTGCTGATACTGCTGCTGTTTCCGCTGCTGCTGATGCTACTACTGCTGCTGCTTTTTCAATCGGACGACATTCCAAATGGGTGCACTGTCACTGCTGCTCCCTGTCCACCCCCTCTGCTACTTAACCAGCCTACCCCATTTCAGTCCCCTTCGTACCCTCCCCTTAAACATCTTCGTTTTGCCCCAGATTCCTACAACCACTCTGCCCGTGCCCCCTGTGCTGCCTGTGTGAGCTGCGCTGCCCGCGCTGCCCTGTGCTGTCTATACTCCAACAACCTCCTGCGCAGCATACTCAGCACAAGCCCTTCTCTTCTCCTGCTGCCGCCTTCCTGCCCTGGGGCATCCAAGGACATTCCTGCCTCTTCCCCCTAGTGTCCCACACATTACCCCACCTGCCCCCCTACCTCCACAACCGCGCTCTCCATCCCCTTTTTCTCGCCTCCTCACCTCCAGCGCCCCAGTACCGTCCCAGTCAGTTGAGATAACTCCTTCCCCCTTTTCCCTGTCCCCCATCCTTCACTTTCCCCCATCCTTCCCTTCCCCCATCCCTTCCCCCGTCCCTTCTCCCCTCCAACCCCGTCATCCCCAACATTCCCCCCTCCAGCGACAAACTATTATTTTAATCAACTCACAAATCGCCTCTTCACCCCACTCTCCAATCCCCCCTCCATCAACTTCCCTCCCACCCCACCTGCAGCCCCATCACAGATCAAACGACCCCTTGAGAAGGACGTTCAGCTGCATGAGAATCTCAGCGGCCATCTTCTGCCCTGCCCCGTGGCTGCGGATCTAAACCAACTAATTTCAATGGCTGTTGTCATGAACCGCCCCAGCGCCTCCTCCCCTCATCCCTCCTCCCTTCCCCCCTCCAGCCGTTTCTGTGCGTGCTCCTCGTCCTACCCACCCCTCTCTCCCCATCCCCCTCCTACTACCCTTCCACGTTTCCCTCCACCCCATCACAGGTCAAACGACCCCTTGGGGAGAATATTCAACCGCATGAGCGTCTCAGCGGCCGTCTTCCTGCCCTGCCCTGTGGCCGTCGTCATGAACCGCCCCAGCGCCGTCACTGCAGGCTGGGAGTACTTGGGCGCGCGGTACTTCTTAATTGCAAACACCTTCTCCAGGATATACACCGCCCACTTGGTCAGCTCCTTGGTCCGCCCCACCACCCCCGCTGCCGCTTCAATCACGTCTAGCTTGACTAGGAGGTCCGCTGCTCGCTCGTGGTCCCCTTCGTCTGCTAACAGGGTCGCCACCGAGGCTAGGCAGACCTCGGCTACCCGATTCTCGCTCCGCCGAACCAGCTCTAGTAGGATCGGGACGATGTCGCCTTCGACCAGGCAGAAGGTGGATTCCAGGCTGCATTTCCCGCCGTGCACCTTGCAGGATCGGAGTTTGTCTGTTCCCGTCATCACAGGGCTGGCTCCCGAGCCTGTCCCGCCGGTGCTCGCCGAGGCTCGCGAGTTGGACCGGGAGAAGTTGAGCTTCCAGGTCATGGCCTTGCCGAGCCTGCGGTCGAGCGAGGTTTGGTCGACGAGCTTCGGCGTGGAATGCGAGAGGTTCCCTAGCAGCACAGCAGAGGGGATTCGCATGACATCAGGCCCCATCTTGAGATAATGCACGGCAAGATGAATCACCCCCAGCCGAGCCACTATCTGCTGCGCCTCTATATCATCCGGATCGGCGAGCTTCGACAAGCCGGACAGGATCGCCTCCTGCAACCGAGCCGAGCTCGCAGCATTGGAGCTCCCCGGGCCTGACGACGAGGCAGGACCCGCCCCTGGGTTCAAATTCAGAAACTTCTGCATGAGAGTGAACACCTGCTCCTCTACCCGCACCAGCGGCCGCATCTGCTTGTTCCCCGCCATTGTCCCAAGCACAATCACTATCGCCTCCCGCTCCTCCCCAGGGAGCGGCCGTGCGAGGAGCGTGGCGAGAGTCTTGACTACTTCTGGGGGAGCGCACATCATCTCTGCTGCGTTGTGCTCCTGGCACAGGTGGCCCAGCAGCAGCAGCGCCGACGACCGCAAGCTGCCCGCCGCAAAGTGCGACGCGCTCTCCTGTAACACCTCGAAAATAGCAGTAACCGCACCGTCATCCTCCATCACCGCGGCCCGCATGGACTTACTCTCCTTCGCCATACACTCCAGCGTTCTCACCGCGTAGTCCCGGTTCGTCTGCGGGCCCGCCCGCAGCATCGTGATCAATCTAACGGCCGTCCCGTCCTCGTCCAGCGCGTCCAAATCCTGGTCGTCCATTGCCAGATTCGCCAGGGTGGCCTGCGCGGCGTTCTTCACCTCAGCGGACCCGCGAGCGAGGGCTTTAACGAGCGCGGGGATCACGCCCGCCTTGGCCAGAGCCATGCGGTTGAGATCGGTGTGGGAGAGGTGCTCTATGGCTCGAGCAGCGGCCGCCTTGCCCTCTGGGGGCCCGTCGTTGAGCAGGGCGACGAGAGGGGGCAGCACCCCGCACTGCACGAGGGAGACGCGGTGGGCCTTGTTCACTCCCCACGTCATGACCCCGTCCGCCATCGTCATCCTCGTCTCCATGTCGCTCTCTGGAGGGGGGGAGAGGGATAGAGCAGACAGGGAAGAGAGGGAGAAAGGGGGCAGGGATGAGCGGATATATGCTCCTTTGTTAACGGACGCCCCACGTCATGACCGCGTCTGCCATCGTCATCCTCGTCTCCATGTCGCTCCCTGGTTTCATGGGGCAGAGGAGGAGCGGGAGAGGAAAGGAACAGAAACTAGTGGCTGAGAGCAGCCTCGTTGACTCCCCACGTCATGACCCCATCCGCCATCGTCATCCTCGTCTCCATGTCGCTCTCTGGGAGCGGAGTGACAAGCGGGTGGGAGAGAGAGTGAGGGAAAGCGAGGCAGAAATGAGCGGTTGAAAGCAGCCTCGTTGACTCCCCACGTCATGACCCCATTCGCCATCGTCATCCTCGTCTCCATGTCGCTCCCTCTTATACGGGGCAGACGAGGAGCGGGTGGGAGAGGAAAGGGGCAGATATGAGAGGGTGAAAGCAGCCTCGTTGACTCCCCACGTCATGGCCCCATCCGCCATCGTCATCCTCGTCTCCTTGTCGCTCTCCGGGGGAGGGGGGGGGCAGGAGGAGGCGGAAAAGCAGGTAGGAGAGTGAGGGAGAGAACTACGGGGTTGGAAGCAACCACTTAGAGGCGTTTCATCTCAAGCACCCGTGCTGACTTTTGAGTCGACTCAAAAGTCAACTCTGGAAGCAACCACTTAGAGGCGTTTCATCTCAAGCACCCGTGCTGACGCCCCACGTCATGACGCCATCCGCCATCGTCATCCTCGTTTCCATGACACTCTCTGGGGGGGGAGAACGGGGGGGAGGGAAGGAGTGAGGGAGAGAGGAGAAGATAGGCAAGTGGGGGAGAGACCTAGGGGTTGGAACCAACCATTTTGGACGCGTCTCAAGCAGCCTTGAGGAGCACAGAGGTGTTCTGGATTAAGACGTCTTTTGAGGCGCCTCAAAAGGTGTTCTGGTGTAAGACGTCTTTTGAAGCGCCTCAAAAGGTGTTCTGGATTAAGACGTCTCAAGCACAGCTGACTCCAAGGCCATGATCCGGTTGTAACCGTGTAACCAGTTGAGCAGGATTATGATCGCCACCACCACCCTCATGTGACTTTTGAGTCGACTCAAAAGGCACCTTGCTGACTCAAAGGCAATGATCCGGTAACCATGTAACCAGTTGAGCACCTTTATCATCGCCACCACCCTCACCGCCCCGGTCACCGCTTCCCCCCTTGCCTTGCCCACGCCCCTCCCTCCCCTCCCTCCCTCCCTCCCTCCCTCACACTCTCTCCCTTGCACTCACCCATTCTCACTCACCCACTCGCTCACTCGCTCTCTCACACACCCACACTAACGCAGACCCATAGTACAGACCCAGACACAGACCCACACACCTACCTACAGCCACCCAACCCCCCGCCCCCGCACCCACCTGGTTCGAGCAGCACGACGAGCGGCTTGAACATGCCCACAGAAGCCATCTGAATGGCGACGTAGGGTTCGTCGCGCCAGTACGTCTCCAGCACGGCCTCCAGCAGCGCGCCCTTGTCGTCCTCCTGGTGCCAGTTGAGCAGCTTTATCATCTCCACCACCCCCATCGCGTCCGTCACCGCCTGCCGCAGCGCCGGGAAGCGCGAGAGCTCTAGGATCACCTGGATGGCTGGCGTCACGTCTGGAGTATCGTGCGTGATGAGGTGGATCATCGGGGGAATGCCCCCCGCGTCTGATATGGACGTCTGGGATGGGGGAGGGGGAGGGGGGGGGCCCGAAGGGAGGGGGAGTTGGGAGGGGTGGGGAAGGAGGGGGAGGGGAAGTGGGGGCGGTGTTTGAGTGGAGTCACCACCCCCATTGCGTCCGTCACCGCCTGCCGCAGCGCCGGGAAGCGCGAGAGCTCTAGGATCACCTGGATGGCCGGCGTCACGTCGGCTGTATCGTGCGTGATGAGGTGGATCATGGGGGGGATGCCCCCCGCGTCCGAAATCGATGTCTGGGATGGGGGAAGGGGGGGAAGGGGACGTTTGAGTCGACTCTAGGGTCAACTGGATGGCTGGCGTCACGTCGGCTGTGTCGTGCGTGATCAGGTGGATCATGGGGGGAATGCCCCCCGCGTCCGATATCGACGTCTGGAGAAAGGGGAAAGGGGAGAAGGGGACGGGGAGAAAAGATGGGGAGAAGGGAAGGCGGTGTTTGAGTGGACTCACCACCCCCATCGCCTCAGTCACCGCCTCCCGCAGCGATGGGAAGAGCGAGAGCTTCAGGAGCAGCCACATTTCTAGGAACTACACTAGAACCGTTTCTAGAGTTTATATTGGAGCCATTTCCGATCTGAACGGCACGTGATGGTGAGACCACAAGGTACCAGAAGCGAAGGTTCTCTATCGCTTTCGGAAAACGTGCTTCAGTATACCTCAGGACATGTTATTCGACTAAAAAAACGAACAAAAAAAAGATCCAAATGAGCGCGTTTCACTATAACCCACGGCTTGGGAAATTTACTAACGGCTTCTGCCTCTCCCAGGCTGGCGATGTTCCGCAGCGCCGTCACCGCGGCCTCCCTTTCTATTCAGGCGCCTAAAAGATGAAAAGAATAACAAAAACTCACGGCTTCTGCCTTCCCTAGGCTGGCGATGTTCCTCAACACCGTCCCCGTGCCCTCCCTTCATTTTTTAGGCGACTAAAAGAGAAAAGAAAAATCAACAACTTACCGCTTTTGCCTCTCCGAGGCTCGCGATGTTCCGCAACACCGTCACCGAGCCCTCACTTATTTTTGGGGGGCCTGATAATTGAAAAAAATCAACAACTTACAGCTTCTGCCTCTCCCAGGCTCGCGATGTTCCTCAATACCGTCACCGTGCCCTCCCGGACCGGCCCCGCGCCTCTCTCCGTCACCAGCCGCACCAGCGGCACCACGGCGCCAATCTCCGCGAGCTCCGCGGCGTACTTCTTATCCTGCGACGATAGCTGCGCCATCGCCTCCACCGCCTCCTCCTCCCTCTCCCCTCCGCTCGCCTCCTTCGGCTCCTCCTTTGGCGGCGGCTCCGGGCCTTTCTTTTTCTTCTTCGCGGCGGCTTTTTTCTCCTCCTCTTTCTTCCGCTCCTCTTCCGCCTTCGCCGCTTCCTCCGCCAAAATCGCCTCCGCCGCTTCCCCCCCCGCGGCTAGCGCGGCTGCTCTCGCTTCCGCCGCCGCCGCGGCCTCCGCCGCTCGTTGCTCCATGCCGTCTCTTAATGTGCGCGCCGCCTCGTCCAGCGTCTTTCGGTTCAGCGAGTCGTAACTCTCCTCGATGCCCTTTCGGATTTCCACGTTACAGACCAGCTCCACGCTTTTAAGGTGCTTCCCGGACTTGGGACACACGCGCTTCCCCTTCGCGAAGAAGTTTTCGATTGCGTTGCGATTGTACGTGTCGCCGGTTTCGACCAGGGTAACCGGATCTCGCATCACCTCGCCCGTCATCGCGCACTTGAAATTATCCGGAACCGCCATCCCGAGCTCCTCCCGGAGCCGCAGCGCGAGCCGCGAAAACGTCTGCGTGATCGGCGCTTCACTGGAAATACTCGCGAGGCTAACGAGGGTTTTTAACTCTGTTAGCTTATCCACGTCCATCCACCGCTCTTCCTTCTCCGCTACGAGCAGATCCCGTTGCACTTCCTCCTTAAGCACATCCGATTGCGACGACGGCATCCCTAGGAATTTCAACACGCGCTCCACCAGCGCCGTCGCGACCTTCTTGCTGTTCCTCGTAACTCCATCCTCCAACGCCAGCGACAGCTCCGCAACTTCCGGTTCCGAATCGAACGTCGCGACCCGCATTCGGCCGCGGAGGTCGGTCAGCCGATTCGCGACGTCCGTCGGTAGCGACGACATGATACTCAGGACCGGCATGAGGTTCAGATCGTGACCCACCTCCTGAACCATCCGCTGCAAGTCGCCGACTAATTTGTCCGTGTCGAAGATTAAGAACAGCCGGCTGCACTCCGTGTGGTCCTTAGTCAGCTTCTTAAGATCGTCCAGAGCCGTTTTCAGCCGCTTCATGCCGTTTAGGGCTTCCGCTGACGACTTGGTCAGGTCGCGTTTCGTGTTGAGCTGGGACAGGACATCGCGAAGCTCGCCTAGGTAAAACGCCATTGTTAAGAAACTCGCTGTGTCGACCGGAACTTTAGGCGCGAGTCGCCTGGTTTCCTCAATGGTCTTGAGCATCGAGTCGACCATGGATGCCAAACTAGGGTTTGACGAACTCATGGTGGCTTGTCTGGTACACTGATCCTGACTATACGTTAGTACTAACGAGGATGATATTGAGAAATACCGTTGGACTTCGGTCAGGCTAATGTTGGGATGATATCAAATGCGACGGACTTAGCGTTTGTCGCAGTGCTGACGCTGATGCTGACGTGTATGTTATGTCTGGTCTATCGGACACGGTTTAGGGGAATAAAACGGGTACGGACGAGGCGCCATAGGGACAATGCAGGATGATGTAAATAAATAGAAATCGTTAAGTAGTGAGTGAAACCTATGGTGGCCTAATAATCCTATCGGTAATCCCTAGATCGGCACGACCCCGGAGCTCTAGCAAGATAACACGTGCCAGAATTGAAGAGCCAACAGATCAACTGCTCTGGAAGTAAGAGGCGAGAATAAAGAAGAGATAAGAAAGTCGTTGTACGGCGGATAAAGCGGAGATGGCAGGAGCGCACGATTGTTGTTATCTAAAATGGCAGGCAGGCTGATTGATGGGCCAACAGCCAAGTAGGTTTCAAGGCTTGCCTCATTACCCTACCTGACCAGTCTCGTTATTTAAACTATCGCGCTGAAACGCAAACAACCTCATTGAGCCGCAAGGCGGAGCGAAAATATGTCATTGCCAGACTGGTGAGGGGTCGACGGAAGAAGGGAGGGAGGCAGTCTTGGGATGGGTGCGGGTGGTCGTTGGCGGAAATACTGTACAGTCCAGGGGTGCAGGGGGAGGTTGGGCGCAAAGGGCGCAACTGGCAATGGGGGACAACGACGACCAGTTCTCTCCCTGCTGCCTTACGTGCTTCTGGGGGCCGCGGATGAGGCGGGAGTTCGGGGAACGACCGGCGAAGAACGCGCGGAGACTTGGAGGTTGGTCACTGTGCTATCGTGTTGAGCTGACAGGGAAAAGCCTGGCGAGTTCGCGAGTTAAACGTAATGTGGTAACCAATCTTCGAAGCGCAGGGCTAATTGCCAGTCTGTAATTTCGAGACGCAGGCTGCACTAGTTGCGGGGTGAAGTCAATGGCGACAGTGCAAACCGGCCAGCGACAGCTATGCGAAGAAGCAGGCAAGACAGGAGCGACGACAATGACCTCCGTGTGAATGCGGCCCAGGTCGAACTTTGGTAGCTGTTACGGGTACAATGAATCGAAGTAGCGAGAATTGCACTAAGGTGTCAAACGAGTACAAAGTGTGAGCGAAGGCATGAGCGAACATTTATACGCGAAACATGCAAATGGTAACGCGGTGCGTGCGAGCTAGCTAGTGCTACGCTGGACGCGAGGCTCGGGCTAGTCCCGAAGCGTAGGCCGACACGGCCAGGCCAGCAGTGCGAGGTTTGGTGAAACAGTGCGCGCGAAGTCGGCGAAGCCCCGTTAACAGTAACGGGCGAACAACGGCTGCTGCTGTACGCGATGTTGCAAGGTGCGCTAAGGAATATAGAGAAAATTCCTACACTACCCCCCCCCCCCCCCCCCCTCAAGAAGCCCCCTCCGCTACGCGAGTGCGTGTAAATCGCGGAAGCCCCGGCTCCTCAGGTACACTTGCAGGGCAGGGTGGTTTTCGATGTTGGCCAGGGGCACCCAGCTATCCTCAGTTGGCGTGCGATCCTTCCAGCGAACGAGGGATTCAATCCTCCTGATTCCCGTGGGGTGTCGAATCCGATGGCTCAGGATTTTTTCGGGCTCGATGATCGGCTCCGATGCAGGGCGAGTCATGGATGGCGGGCGGTGGCGAGGCAGTTGGCTTGTGGTTGGGATGTATGGACGAAGCAGGCTGACGTGGAACGAAGGGCTGATGTACCAGTCCGTCGGCAACAGTAGGTGAGCTGTCACTGGGGTAATCATGTGGCTGATTTGGAATGGTCCACAGTAGCGGGGTCGTAATTTCGGTACGACGGGCAGTCTTAAGTTTTGCGTGTCGAGCCGTACGTAATCCCCTGACTGGTACGTGACTGGGCGGCGGTGGCGGTCAGCGTTGCGTTTAGCGATGACGTTGACTTTTTTAATTGCTTCAGCGGCTATGGTGCGGGCAGCTTGCAGAATTTCGGCGAATTGCTGTGCACGTGGTGTCGGGTTGTCCGGACTCGGCGTCATGCGCACTCTAGGGTTTTGCCCGTAGTTCAGGTAGAAGGGGGACTGCTGCGTCGTCGCTGACGTGGCGTTGTTGTACGCAAACTCGATCAGCGGCAGCTGCTGCTCCCAAGTGGTCGGGTCGTCGCACGTGGCACGAATCAACTGCTCCATCGTCTGATTCGTCCGCTCCGTTTGACCATCGGTCTCGGGGTGGTACGACGAGCTGAACTGTAGCCTCGTCCCGAACTGCTCCAAAAGGTTCTTCCAGAAGTTGCTGGTGAATTTCGTATCGCGGTCGCTGATAATCGCGGCTGGTATCCCGTGCAGTCGAACGACGGCTGCGATGAACAGGTGAGCGGTTTCTTCGGCTGAGATCGATTTCTTGCACGCAGCGAAGTGTGCCATCTTCGTCAACCTGTCAACGACGACCATAACCGCGTCGTTACCCCCAGGGTTCGAAGGTAACCCTGTGACGAAATCCATGGTAACCTGCTGCCAGGCGCGCTCAGGCGGTGGAATCGGCTGCAACTGACCCGCCTTTCTTTTTCGCGAGCTCTTCATCACCTGACACGTAGGACACGAGCCCACGTGGTGCTGTACGTCGGTCAACAGCTCCGGCCAGTAGTAATACCGCTACAGTTGCTGTCGCGTTTTTTCTACCCCGAAATGTCCCGAGGTAATCCCATCGTGTGCCTCCTGCAGTAACAGTTCCCTCGGTAATGAGTACGCAGGTACCCAGATGCGGTTGGTGCCTGTTTTTACGTAATAGACTCCTCTGGCCTCTGCCAGTTGCTGTGAATTTCCGGTCGTGAAAAATAGGTCGGTACTGTATCCGTGGGTGAATAGGCTTGTTAACAGTGGGTTGGTTTGGGCGAGTAGGATGGCGTGGAGTTGGGCGGTGGGGCGTGTGAGTGCGTCGGCGATGTTGGATGCGCCTTTTTTGTACGTGACCGTGTAGTGGAAATTGGACTCCAGATAGTCCAGCCAGCGGATCTGTCGTGGGTTGAGATTCGGTTGGGCGCGAAGGTACTATAGGGATTGGTGGTCTGTCCGTACTGTCACGTCTGCTCCCGTGAGGTAACATCGCCACACTTTGAACGCGTGCACGATCGCCAGCATCTCGCGGTCGTGTATCGGGTAGTTGCGTTCGGGCGGGTGAAGCTTGCGGGACTCGTACGCGATTGGCTGAAGGCCGTTCCCGAAGTCCTGCAACAGTACTGCTCCCACAGCGATGTCGCTAGCGTCGGTGACGAGCTCGAACGGACGGTGCGGATCTGCGATGTGAAGCACGGGCGGCGAGCACAAAATATTTTTTAGGGCCGAGAAGGCAGCTTGCTCTTTCTCCCCCCACGTGTACTCAACCCCCTTCCTCAGCAGGTTGGTCAATGGGGCAGTCATCTTCGCCATGTCAGGGACGAACCGGAGCACGTAGTTGACGAACCCCAGAAAACTCTGCAACTCGGTCAAGTTGGTCGGCGCGTGCCATGCTTGAAACGTCGCGATCTTTTTCGTGTCTATTTCCACTCCTGCAGGTGAAATAATGTGTCCCAAAAACTCCAGTCGGTCCTGTAAAAACTCACACTTAGACGCTTTTGTCAGTTGGCGGTTCTCACTCAGTATTTTGAAAACTGCTTCGATGTCCTGTAAGTGCTGTGCTCTGTCGGGGCTGTAAATTAGTATGTCGTCAAGGTACACGATGACGCACTTATCTAAAAGCGGGCGGAAGGTTCGTTCATGGTCATTTGAAATGTGGCAGGGGCGTTGGTCAGTCCGAAGGGCATGACGGTGTATTCGAAGGATCCGTAGCGTGTTCGGAAAGCTGTCTTCGGGCAGTCGGGTGGGTTGACGCGAATCTGGTGGTAACCCCCTCGAAGGTCGATTTTCGAGAAAACCCGGGCTGTGCGCAGTTGGTCGATCAGTTCGTCGGCTCGTGGGATGGGGTAACGGGATTTTATGGTAACCCTGTTCAGTGCTCGGTAGTCTATGCACATGCAAAAACCCCCGTCTTTTTTCGGTGTGAACAGTATCGGTGCTGCGAAGGGCGACGAACTAGGGCGGATGAACTCCTTCTCGAGCAGGTAATCTAGCTGCTTCCTCAGTTCGTCCAGTTCGGGTTGGGTCAGTCGGAACTGTCGCTGTACTGTCGGCTGTGCCCCCGGTTCTAACTCTATCCTGTGGTCGTGCGGTCGCTGAGGTGGCAGTCCCGTCGGTAGGTCGTCCGGGAAAATGTCACTATACTGCTTCAACAGTGCTGCCAGCTCACTCGGTACGTCGGCTAGCAGTCTCTGTAAATCCCCTCCTTTGTCTGCTGCCTCGGCTTCCCGAATGTCAACCGCGTACACGTCAGCTCCTGCCGCTACGGCGCGTTTCATCGTGATCGCGTTGACACGCACCGACGAAGACTCAGGCGAGCCCTAGCGAGGTAGGGCGATGTTGTTACCGTTCACTCGCACAGTGCAGTCACCCGTCGTCCAGTCGATTCGCGGATTGTGTCGTCGCAGCCAATCACGCCCGAGTAAAATGTCGGTTCCGTCGAGGGTCGTTGCGAGCATTTCCTGGCTAAACGTGAAGTTACCCCCGCATCGAATCCGAACTCGGTCCAGACGTTCCCGTATCGCCAGTGGCGTGCCGTCGACCAGTCTCGCGTCGATCTCAGGTAAACATCTGTCCAGTGGCAGTCGCAGTTTTCGTGCTGTGGCAGTGTTGATAAGGCTGTGGCTGGCCCCTCCGTCTACGAATATTTTAACTAAGTCCGTCCCGATTTTCCCACTAAGCAGTATAGTGCTGTCTACCGTAGTACCCTCCTTATTCGGCC